GCGATGCATTTCAGGTGTCACCCTGGGGAAACTGAGCCAGCCCAGCTCAGGTAGCAGCTTCAGAAGCTCTTATCAAATTTATTCAAGAGTTCCAAGATGGCCCTTGGAGATGTGGGAGCTTTGCTTGTACCCCGGAGCCATGTAATCGACTGTTATTCCAGGTATTGCTTTCAGCGCCTTACACACGTGACCTTCTTTATCTTCTTGAAGCCCTTTGAGAAGGCCACCATCACTGTGTTATTTCACAGATGAGACAACTGAGTCACAGTGAGGTGCAGAGTCTTAGCTCAAGTCTCTCTCCATCCACACTCTCTTGTTCTAAGCTGCTCCAATCTGCTGTACCGCTGGGCCCTATGGCGACTGCTTCCCAAGGTCACTGGTTAAGGGAAGATGTCATCTAGTTTGGGTTTTAAACCCTTCAAAGACCATTCTGTTTTGTTTTGTAAAGGCAGTAGTGGTCACAGTTAACCTTGCCTAGTTGAAACAGCCCATTGGACTTTTTGGTGTTCTTTGAACTGAAGAAAACTATTTTGTGTTAGCTGGCTTTGAACTCCTGGCCACTGCCCTGGAACTCACCATGGCATACAAAGCAACGGCCTGGCTTGCTCAGCATTGTGCCACGTTCCAAGCCTCATGGCCTCCTGTACATTTGGGCTTTGATTGATGTGAAACCACTGTGGGGCCTATTGTTCATAGGAACCCCGGACTCTGATTCAGAGCCAGTAGCCTCACATAAGGCTAAAAATGGCTGAGTAATGGTCTTGTAATGGCGTTTGGAAAGGGACAACCAAAAAAGAGGAGGAGAGATCTAACTTGGAGGAAATCTTCTTCTGGAGAAGAATGCATATATTTCCATAGAGAAGTTTATTTATTACAAGAACCATCCTTGTTCTGTGGGCTTTCCCTTAGCCCTCGTTTGCATCGTGGGTTAACCTTGCTCTGCTCTGTTTCATCTTTAACCTGTCTTCTGGGAATTTTATTGGGCAGTCACACACCACTGCCCTGAAAAACTCCCACTGTACTGAGACCAAAGGTGGTTGTAAAAGGTTATCCTTGTGCAGCCATGTTAGTTGAGGGAAGATTGACTGCTGTAGCTGACAATACAAAATCTCTGTGTCAACACACTAGAAATTTATTCCCTTATCACATCATGGGCCAATGCAGGAAGGTAATCCTCCCCCTGGTGGTGATTCAGGGACCCAGGCTCCTTCCATCTTTTTGGCACCACCATCTCTATCTGGAGATAGAGAGAGAGAGACAGAGAAGGTTGCTTCTGGGTGATTTTCAGGGGCCAGGGGCCAGGGAGTGGAGTCTACTACTTCCAGCTACCTTCCTTTGGACAGAACCAGCTGCAAGTGGCCGGGAGATGTAACCCAGATAATGCTCTGTTACATCTGCAGTAACAGTAAATCCACTGGATTCTGCTGAGGAACCCATGAGCTGTAGATGTCTGTGAGGCCTGGAATTAAATTGTCCCTTTGGAGTCAGCCAGGAAGGAAAGCTTCAGAAGGCAGGGTTGGAGGTTTGGTCACCATATGGGTCCCGGTGACTGATGCTGTGGGTGTTTTATTAATGTTTGCTGGATGCAGGAATGAGTACACATCATTAATATTCTTTAATGTGGCTCCATAATCTCTAATACTTTAATGTGGCAGTATTGTCATTTCTGACCCTTCCAGAAAAAAATCACCTGCCCTTCTCTTGGGCCTACCTTGGATGCTTTATGTGTTTCTATCACGGCATCTGTAATACTTTCTTGCCCTTGGTTTCACCTCTGGCTTCTCCTACTAGGATGTAAACTTGAAGCAGGGACCTTGGCTCATCCATCTTCATAGCCCCACCCCTTCCACAGTGCCTGGCATGTGATGTTGAATAAGTAATTTTCTTAGGGTGTTAGAAATTTATTATTTCTCAAGTCGAAAGGTTTGAAACCAGGCATCTCTTCAGAGCAGCTCTGGGCAGTAGCGTGCATGCAATGCCGGCCCTTTTACCAAGATAGGGAAGTAGATTGGGCTTCAAGCCTATATCCATGAGAGGTATAGACTCTTACTTTCTTAATGTTAGTAAAGTACTTAGATGTGTAAACAAAAGAAGGAAATGCTTTCTGAGAAGTGAAGGGATGGGCTGCCTTGTGAGGTGGCAATTCTGCATCCTGGAGGTGTTGAGTAGAAAAGAGTTCACCATCTGCCAGGGGTATGGTTAAGGAGAGTCCTGTTTTGAGTAGGAGAGAAGGCTAGCTTGGTGATTCTCATCAGCGAAGAGAGAGAATGTCAGGATCTGTGATGGCTGATGAGTAACAAAAACAATAATAACCTGCTGTTTCTGTTCAATGAGCCATTGGGAAAAAAGCATAAGACCATTTTCTTGACTGGTAGATATTTCAGGAAATGTATTGACAAAGCTTTGGCATATAGAAGTGGAAAATGTTGAAAAAGACTTGACTAATGTTTTCTTGGTTCTTCCAACAACAACAACTAAACTGTGATTCCATAACTTTTAAAAAAATCAGCATATGGCACCATTTGTGCTTATAATAATTAGCATACTGCAAGTGGTGAAGAAATCTTTCATTGGTAGATGGAGTCATCATTCGTTCAGCATGATTAGATAAGCAAACATTTTGTTGAATGAATGATTGAATGAATGAATGACTCTTCCCTTCCTGCAGACTTAACAGCCCCACTTTTCCCAGGTCTTGTTACTATGGGCTGTTGTGACCTGCCTTGGACAACCTTCAATTTGTTAATGTCCCTCTTCAAATACAACTCCCAGAGCACCACATTATACTCCGATACTATACACTCTTTGGTCAAGTGACCCATCAGGACCAGGCCTTGTGATAAGCATCAGCTGAAACTGAGAACAAAAATCCTGCTGTTCTGGAAGGCCAGGTGTCAGAGACGTCATGGCTTAAGTTTCCTTTCCATGCATCCAAATGGGGCTGTTAAAAACTGGGGGTAGAAGTCTGCGGTTTTTGCATGTGTTATGTTTTTGTTGCTTTATAACTCCTTTGGCCAAAGTGGATGTTATATTCAGTCCTGGGCATGGCCTCTGGACTCTGAGCTTGTGCCAAGGACCAGGCTAGAGATCTGTGAGCTAGGAAACGAGCCAGATAATTTGAAGCACATTACATCAGACGTTTCCCGAGGTGGAAAGGAAGACCTCCTTGCTAGAAAGCAGGAAGGATTTTGGCTCTTAGAAATTGAATTCAGTAATTTTAACTCCTTGGCTAAGGGCCAGTCCTCTAGCAAGCAGCTCTCATATGGTCCGCAAAAAATTTGGATGCAAAGCCTCTGGCCCCTGCTTTGCATGTTGACACCATAGCCTTCTTTGAGAGATGGATCACCTTTTGTGGGGCAGAGACAGCTTAAGAAAAGGAGAGATATTATAAAATCTGAAAAAGGTTTTATAAGACATTAAATGGATTTTCTAAGAGGTTAAAAAAATCTTACTGACTTTACTAATTTTAAATTTGGGGGGCAAAGTTGACTTTGTAGTGGAGAATTGTAAACCCTGAATTAGAATGCTGTCCCAAAAAAAGTTGTCATCCTCCACTTTCTTTCCTTTTCAAGTTAAATAAAATCATATAATGTGTACTAGTAGATATATTGGTATTAACTCTTAAATTTATAAATTATACCCTAATGGTAGTTTCTGAATTAACTTCAGAAATTGACTTTTGCAGCCAAGGAATTTGCTCTCAGTAACACTCAAAGTTAAATAGTTTGTAATTCCAAAGTCTTCCGTTCTTTCTATGCACTATGCAGGCTGTTGGGAACTGCATGTGCTAATGCCTCTGTGTTCAGTACATTGCACTACTCAGATGATTAAAAAAAAAAACCCTAATTAATCATACAGAGGCCCTGGCACGTTCCCCTCTGAATGCTTAAAGTTGAGTCATGGGGTGGAAATTAAACTGGTTAGAGCAGCTTTGGGATACGTGAAAGAAAAAGATACAAAGCACTTTTGAGTGAATTATTGTACCTGATACTCCTTATTCCTGCAAAATATAGAGCTGTTCGTAGGTCATTCTACACTGTATTAACTGAGACTCAAGAGATAAGCTCTAGTCATCTGTTGAGACTAAAACCCAGGTCTTCTGACAGATTGATGCTTTTCCCACCATAAGCTCTACAAACTGAGGGGCACCAGTGCACCAGTGAGCAGAGTGACAGCTGTAGAGACCCCTGAAGGAATGATCTGGTAAAGTGCTTTAGTGTGACCTTTCTGTGGTCTGAACTGTGAGTCTCCAGTCTAAACTCTGAATACTTCATCTTCTCTTTTGGGAAAATTGATCTGGTATCACTTGATCCCTACCTTGAAGGGGTGCTCAAGAAAAACATGAAATATGTATGAAGTGCTTTAAGTTTCAGGGAAGTAATGTTCCAGCCTGCGAAAGCTGGAAATGCATTCCAGCACACCACGCATCTTATCGGCTCATCCACAGTTGCACATTTCACTCCTGACCTGTCCAAGTGTGAAAATCTAAGAATTCACATACACATTTGCCACCTTTCTTTAGCCATGTGTGTTCCTGAGAATGGCGTGATATGTTATTAACACATCCAAGAAGGGAAATAAAGGGGTGGCAGTGAGAGGACGGAGGAGGCAGCAGGGAGGCGAGAACAGGAGGAAGGGAGGTGAGTCCAAAGTGACAATCCCTGGGGAGCCCAAGCTGTTAACCTGCAGGGTATGGACATCCTCTGCCATTCCCCCTGCAAGGTGAACCTGGGCCTCGCTGGCCAGGTCTTGCAAAGAACTGTGCCAGGGTCTGCTGTGGCCAGCCCTTCTCAGTGGCAAGAGACGGTAGGGTGCAGAGCTGTTACCTGGCATCCTTCACCATCACAAGGTCACTGATAAAATATTAAAGCGATCCTATGTACCCGGCTTCATGAAGACGATCAGCAGTGGAGGCAAGCCAGGGCAAGGAGCAATGATCAGACACACAGGAGGAGCAGAGGCCCTGGAAGCTCACATAGAAAGGGCCACGACAGCCACAATGCCACAGTGAAGCAGCCAGCTTGTGTTTACTCTCAACGCAAAATGTTTTCCTTTGTATATCCATACCATCACCTCTTATTTCTCAGGAAGTGACACAAAGTAACAGGCTTCACGATGCCATCAATGTCCGTTTGACAGTATTCATATCACAATACACAATCATGTACTGTAATTATACAAAATCCAAAGAATAAAATGTTACTAGTTACACTGGTTAAAATGAAACTGACAACCAAAAAGAAAAGAAAACAAAACAAATCTCTGTCGGAATCCATAGAGACGCTTGACAATATTACAAAAAAAAGTAGCCAAATAATTGTCCTAGCATGCTGCAGTTCATTGCCATAATTTCGTAAATTCCCAGCTCTTTGGGGGAAAGAAAGTGCGTTTTCATAGCCTATAGTTCTCAAAGAAATAGCTTTTACGTGGAGGTGAGTCAACAGAAAAAGGAATGCAAAGTTAGGCACCAAGATTGCTCAGACAGCAATGGAGTCTAAAGAGTCAGACTTCAAACTTTTCCGAACCAGATCTGGTTTGTTGAAAAAGAACCTGGACAGTGGCATTAGTCCAAGAGGGCCAAGGAAGAAACACTTTACTGTTAATAAGGAAGAAAACCATCAAGAACTAGAACAATTAAGACAAATATTTTTTCTACTCCACTTTGAAGCTGAATTACAGCTTTTCATGTTTGGAAAAGAGATGCAGTTGATCTGTGGGTAGGACCCCTCTCTCTTCCCTCATCCACCCTCCCCGCTCCTGATCCAGCAGCTTAATGTTGGGTGTACAGATATCGCGGATTCAATTTCCTTAAAGTAAAATTCCCATTTCTTCATGTGTGGCCATGCCTCTTTTTAACAATGAGGTATAATTTGATACGAACAATGCCCGTTCCTTCCTGGGCTAGGGACTTGGTCAATCATGTGGGCAGAAAACAATTCAACTTTCTGATAAAATCACACACATAAAAAAAGTATTGCACTTAAAACAACAACAACAAAAACTCAGCCCAACCAGCAAAGGGCCAATGAAACTCTTCGGAAGTGCTGTGCTTCCTGCCCTTTGCTGAGCATCTGGACCTTTCTGGTGTTTGGTTGAATTGGGTCCGTTATTAGATGTCCAGAAGTGAAAGAGTCCAAAAGACACTGTAGGCTCTTTAAGGCTAAGTCTTCCCGGTGCTTCTATGAGATAAATTATCTCCTTGGCCACATACTACAAAGCAGGGGCTCCTTTTAGCAAAATGGCTAGCAAGGCCCCCCAAAAACTCTGGAAGCAAGGGAGGATGGGTACACATCATGTCCTGTCCTGTGAACAAGAGAGAGAGAGACACAGTAAGCAGCTTCGGGGAGCAAAGCCGCCCATCATCAGCTCTGTGGCTGAAGTACAGAGACTTCCTCTAACTCCCCCACTAGCCTTCATTGCACTCAGCTCCACAGCCCATGTGGACATGGGTCTATCTGTGCCTCCTTTCTGTGGATCTGAATGTCTTTCCCTCTACTGGCAAATTTGCCTCTCTCTGTGTTTCCTCATTCTTTATCCTTCCTGCCACCTTGTTCTTTTTAGCTATCTCTTGATGGCTGCACAGGTACAATGTTAATCCTATCCTGCTACCCACCAGTCCATATGCTACTTATCCTTCTATATTTCTCCCACAAGGCACCCCGTCCCTGTCCTCTCCTGTCTCTTCAGTCGTCCCCCCATTCCACATTCTGTTTACTGAGTTGAATTGGCAGATTACTTGCTACTTCAGCCACGATTACTTACACCTCCAAAATCTGATTTTCTAGTCCAAATTTGAGCACAAGGCGTTGAATATGTTACCAGTATTTTCACGAAGCTCTCAAGTAAGTGCTCACATAACGGATGAGGTCAAGGCATTTCTAGACTCTGCTATCCTGAGACTATTGTCAATATTGTTTTTCTTCTTTGTGGTCTCCACTCTAGTTCATGTTTTCTTTGTAACCTCTTGCATGACCACTGTAATCAATAAAGTATTTGCACAGAATATCTAGATAAATAGCATTGGATGGTAGTATCCTGGTATCTCAGGCACAGATACAATATCAGAGTAAATTAAAGTTCAGGGCAGAGGGATTGGAGGTCAAATCATCATGAGTTGCCAAAGCTTCTGCATGTCACACCCATCAACGAAGGTGCACTGAAGCTCTAAGATCTACTACGGTATTTCTCTCTCCCTACCTCCCTGTGACCACCTCTGTGGAGTCAGAGTCAAAACGTATGACTGCTGGTGCTGCCTTTTGTTGTATCCTATCATGTCCCCTTCCATTGTTCTAAGACAGAGCACTCATGATGGACTCTTCCCGACTTACTGCTCCGGATTCTGAGCTAGGACTTGCTAACGTTCTCATAGATGACATCACTGATGCAGAACTGCTGCTTCTTCTTCATCCACATCAGTTGCACACACTGATGGATAAAAATGTACTGCTCCTGGAAGAAAAGACAAAAACATGTTTCAGAGCAAGATAATTTTCTGCAAAAAAAAAAAACCTGAAAAGATATAATATTTTAATACTGTGGCAGAATTAAATACCATGATCTGATGTCAAAAGAAGCAATTTTCATTATTTATAAGGCATAATTTTATAGCTAGAAAATGCAAAAGAATCAACAGTAAAAATATTTTGATTAATAATAGAGCTTAGACAATCACTACTCAATGCTAAAGGCAATGAATATTCAATCAACAAATTATGAGGCTGTTTTGGAAAAGAAAATGCATCACCTCATAAAACACCAAAATAAATTCCAGGAATTTTAATAAATTAAGCCATAAAAATATAGAAGAAAGTATAAATTAATTCCTCTCTGATTCTTAATGTAATTCCTTAAAGAAGGACTTTCTAAATTTCAAAATGATGGAATTAAATTACAAATAAATATTTCAAGCTACTGTATGTAAAAAAAAAAAAAAAAGTAAAACGAATAAAGGGAAAACCAGAAAATGGGACGCAAAAATAGTTTCTGGAATCATGATGAAACATTAATATCTTTATTTTTGCTTAATATTCGTCCAAATCAGTAACCTCCATGCTTAAATTGATGAATAAAATACACCAACCACTAGATGAAATATTTCTTAAAGGCAGGGATTATGTCTTTTTATTCTTAATACCTAGCACTTAGTTTGTGCTTATTAAATTTTTTTTGAAGCAAACTGAGGAAATATTAAAACATATCAAAAAATGGCCCAGTAATCAAAAATGTAAATTAAAACAATTGTTTTTCATTCATGAAGTGAGAAAAGCTAAACAAAAAATGTACCATTCAATGATGACTTGAATTTGTTGAAGCAGTCATTTTTATCTATTGTTAGTGGAGGCATAATTAATAAAGTGCTAATAAATAGCATTGTGGACACAGATATCAGTAAAAAAAAAGTGGCAAATAATCCAATTTAATGTCCCATACAAAGGAGAATGGTTTAAGTAAGCAATGGCATATCTGTAATGAAACATTGAGTTTTAAAATGAGATTTATAGAGTTTTAGGCTATTTGAGATGATTCACATAGTAAACTGTGAAGTGAAAAATCATAATGTAAAATTAACATGGTTTATATAGCATACAAGCATAACTGTGTAAATTTATACCATCATGTGCCTCATAAGGACATTTTAGTCAATGATGGACCACATATATGACAGTGGTCACATAAGATCAGCACCACGTAGCTGAGGTGTGTAGCAGGCCATACCATCCAGGTTTGTGTAAGTACTACACTGGTGGAAGAAATTTTCCTCTACTATTTTAGGTTCTTCTGGCTTGTCTAAGAATTAAATTGACATGAGACAGATAAACAGGAGAAAAAGAAACAAAAGTTTAATAACATGTATACATGGGAGAAGCCCACCAAAATGGCTGAAGCCCTCACCTTAAATACCATCCTCAGCTAAAGACGAAAAAAGATGTTAGGGGTGTGGGAGTCAGGGACTTCAAAGGGAAGGAAGACAATTCACAGGTAGGCGCAAAGGAGCAAACATTTGGAAAACAAGTGTTTGTTTGGTTACACAGAAACAGAAGAACACAGAGGCTCCCCCCGCACCCCCAGTGCACCACCATCCCCCCACCGTCTACCACCTAGTTCATGTTATGCTAAGGTGATAGCTTGCTTCCTGAGACAGGATTTTTAAAATTTGAATTCTTTTAGGCAGTTCAGGGAGAAGAAACAAGAAAAACATTCTGAGTCTTTTGTTTCCTAAAAATAATCAGTCTAAAATAATCCTCACATTAAAGAGACATATTTTGGAGTGGCGAATTTTGTTCCCCTTCAGTACACTCTCTGATGTTCACACAACTATGAAATCACCTAACAACGCATTTCTCAGAACATATCCCCATCATTAAGCAATGCGTGGCTGTCCTTGAATGAAGGCTGAGATGAGATATGCCAAAATATTGAGAGTAACTGTCTTTGTGCCATGAAATCAAGGTAATTTTCTTTATTTCCCAGAATTTCTTTATAGGTAATACCATTAGAAATAACCGTTAAATAAGAACCAGTTAAGGTAGACACAGAATTTCAAGGAGCTTTTTATATGGCAACTTTATGTAAAGGATGAGGTTAAATATAGAAGTACCCCCTCATCCTTGGTTTCACTTTCTGCAGTTTCATTTACCCACAGTCAACCAAAGCCCAAAAATATTAAATGGAAAATTCTAGAAATAAACAATTTATAAGGTTTAAATTGCACACCATTCTGAGTAGTGTGATGAAATCTTGTGCCATCCAGCTCCATCCCACCCTGGACGTGAATCATCCCTTTGTCTAGCGGATCCACACTGTGCATGCTACTTGCCTGTTACTCAGGTAATAGCTGTCTAATAGGTTATCAGATCTACTGTCACAGTATCACAGCACTTGTGTTCAAGTAACCCTTATTTTACTTAATAATGGTCCCAAAGCACAAGAGTAGTGATGCCAGCAATTCGGATATGAAAAAGAGAAGCTGTAAAAAACGCTTCCTTTAAGGGAAAAGGTGAAAGTCCTCAACTTAGTAAGGAAAGAAAACAAATCACATGCTGAGGTTGCTAAGATCCACGGTAAGAATAAATACTCCGAGAAATTGTGAAAAAGAAAAAAGAAATTTGTGCTAGTTTTGCTGTTGTACCTCCAATATGTATGTACAGGGAAAAGCATAGTATATATAGGGTTCAGTACCATCCATGGTTTCAGGCATCCACTGGGGGTCTTGGAACGTATCCCCCATGGATAAGGGGGGACTACTGTACTTCAGACTTCCCTGGGTTCATCTCTTAGCCTAACCTGTATTATTTTTAAGAAGCTGGAGAAAATATATTTCCTTATCTTGTGATGGTGTCACATCAATAACTGAGCTACTCCTTTTCATGATCACCCATCGCTCCATCGTTTCTGGTGTGTCAAGCACTGGGCATGGATAAAGCCAGAAACTGCCTGGTTTCTCATCCCATAACTACTCAGTGGACAAACTTTGTGTCCAAAAGAGAAAAAGTAGCTAGACCACAGGAAAAGTAAATAAAAGACTATTTATGAACACATCCCTGAGTGTTCCTGAGAAATCTAAGCTGCAGATCAGGCGGACAGGCTGCTCAAAGCAAAACCCTAATGGACCTCCAGGGAAGCCTATTAGAAAAAATCAAACAAAACATTTGATAAAAATAGACGAGAGCTCAAGGGAGGCAAACACCATCCATATGTAGCACTTTACAGTTTTATAGCACATATTTAGATTATATCATGTCACATCATGTATACTTTACAACAGTTCATGAACATTGTCATTCTCATTTTACAGATGAGGAATGAGAGCTTTGAGAGGTAGAGCAAGTTGTGTGTGTCATGCTGGGATCCAGGCCTTCTTGTAGGGTCTGACCTGATGACCCCCACTCTCTTTCTAAGTACCCCTTGCTGCTCTTGTGCAGAGGACCATGCAGTGTGTCTGGTCAGGTGAGAAAGGGGAGGAGGGCATATCAAAATACAGCCCATGCAGCATGTTGCAGTGACCTGAAATGTGCATCTGAGGACAGGGCCAATTTAATTAGTTACTCCTGCTACTTCTAGATTGGGGTGGGGTGGTTGAATCAAGGTCATGGGCAGTCTAGAGGAGGTGGGACAATTAGAAACCAGCTATGGGATGCAACCTGGTACACAATACATAGGTTGTTTATATATATATACATAGTCAGAAATCAGCTGGAGAATCATTCTGGCCATTTGAAAATGATTAATGTCAAAGGGATACTCTGGGATGACAAAGTTGAAGAAAATAATTTTTTCCTCTGCTCCTTACTTAATAACGTCAGTAAACTAGAAGGCAGCAGGACTGGGGTGTGAACAGTCTCAAGGAGGATGTTAGGAAAATCCTAACCTTCAAAATACAGGTTGAACCACGAAAAGCACAGGAAGGAGGAAAAACAAAGGTAAATGGACAAGATGTTCCAGACATAACTAACAAAACAGACATAAATAAATAACTTGAACTTGAGAGCATCCACAGCAAAATCCTGAGGGAACTCAAGAGTGAAGCTGGAACAGTTGGAAAAATAATTAACTCATGGTGACCTCCGCCTCTTCTGCTGACTTTGACTTTTCCCATGAGGGTTCAGGGAAGGGATATCATACTTAAAAAAGACTGTTTCCCTGGAGATGTCGACCTAAAATGCCATAACCACCATAAACAAAGAAGTCAAACAACCAAAATGTGGAGCAGGAAAGTTAGGGAGAAAACATTTGCTCAGCTTTGCAGAAAGGCACATGGTGGCTGCTCCAGTTTCACGTAACTACCACACCTGAGGAAAGATAATGGTGCTGAAAATTGGATGGAGGGTTGGCCATGTGAAGGTAGTTTTTAAAAAGGGATTAAGATTTTGTAGTTGGGAACAAAAGCAAACAGGCTATAATCAAAGTCTATAAAGTTATAAAAGGTATAAATTAAGTCAATGAGGCAGACAATTCATGGAATCCAAAATACTTACAATAAGGCTGCCCCTTTGAAGCTTGGGGATTAATATACATAATGGCGAGTTTTAATCACATCTTGGGACGTAAATTTATGGAAGCGAAAGCCAAAAATATGGACCAATTCATAAAGTACTGTTTAATCACTAGGTAGTGGGCTTCTCTGGGAAACCAGGACATTTTAAATTTATGATAACAAGGTAATGCTCATGTCTCCACAGTAATAAATTAGAAGGCAACACGACTGGGATGTGAGCTCCGGGAAGAGAGGACACAAATACATGACTTGCACCCTCATTATCCATGAGACATCTGAATGTGAATGAGTTACTCCTTCCGAAGTGGTATGATCTGCCAGAGCTCAGAATTAAACACATCGGAAGCACTGTGCCAAGCGTGGATCAGATGGGCATGGGAAGGCAGGAGAGAAAAGTAGAAAGGCTGGAAAAGGAGAAACCGGAAGTGTTAAGAGACGGCGGCCATTACTCCAGGCTTTTTGAGCTATACTGACATCTAGTGGTGCTTGACAGGAAAAGCATAAGGAAAACCAAGGCCACCTTTAATCTCTAGGATATTTGCTAAGAGGTCAGGGCAGGTTGTGTTCTACTCTGCAAGCGTTCCTCCCACACACACTCCTTGAGAAAAGGCATTATCGTACACCTGAAGCTAATCAGTCGCGACGACGGCTGGGTGACTGGCATTATGAAGACACTATTTATTGTGCTTAGGTTTGGGGGCCCAAACGGGTGCATGGCCACTGCTGCTCCAAGGAGTGTGATGCTGTCTGCTGGCACCCGCCTGGGGCTGCCTCTCCAGCCTAAATACATTCCACGGCTTCAAGGGAGGAGAGGACTTTGGTGAAGAGGAGGAAGAGGAAGCACATAACACTGCTGGGTATTTCTAGGGATGCTCCCATGTTGTTACAATGAAAAATCCATTCCTTTAGATCAAGAGAACTGACAGCAGATGGGGAGCTGGAAATCCTTGATATCATAACGGGTACAGAAGGCATAAATCCAACCCATATCATCATCAAAAGTGAATTGGGACAGAGAGTCACATGGAGGACAAACTAATGACAAACAGTGAATCAAGTCTAGCATTTTAAATATAAATTAAATCACATCAGTTCCACAGTCTCCATTTGGTGGCATTCACCCAGATTGGCTGTTACCTTCACTGAACTCTCAGTCTGTTCAAAGAGGTTTTATTCTATTACAGATACCTCCAGGTAGTCTGGATTACTAAAGGGTTTATGATGCCAACAGAAGTACAATCATTATACAACAAATGAATTTCTAGGGGATACTATCTATTTTTTTTATACTTTGAAACAGTTTGAAACTAGAAAGGGCAGATGCAAAAAAATTCAAGATAATTGTTTTGAAGCATGAGATTGAATAATGGTAAGTTTTTCAGTCAAGGGCAAATTTAAAAGTATATATTGATTACGTTCCTACCTCTGTCTGTACCATAGACATCCGGTATGACCTCATTTCTGACACCAGCCCTAAGATGTCAACAAACTCATGATCCCGAATGTGCTGCAAGAGCCTGTCCAGGGCAATGAACGTTCCTGTCCGTCCGACTCCAGCACTGCAAAAGAGTGTTCAGATAGCACATAACTCAGACGGCGCTTCTATGCTGTTGAAAATAAATTGGTGATTACAAAACAACTACAAGTAGCACTGAAAAAAAAGGAAGATTGAACTCCTGGCAATATTTTCTTGTTTTTTGTCTTTTTTTTACTGAGGAAGATTTACCCTGAGCTAACATCCACTGCCAATCTTTCTCCATTTTGTATGTGAAGCACCACCACAGCACAGCCACTGACAGATGAGTAGTGTAGGTCTGTGCCTGGGAACGGAAACCTGGCCACTGAGGTGGAGTGTGCCAAACTTAACCACTAGGCCACCTAGGCTGGCCCTGACAATGTTTTCTACTTAACTGATTTTTAAGTATGCAATTGTGGTTGGTTTGTCTTCTAACGTCACATTTCTGACTATCACTGTGTGAATGAAGCTGGGACTGCTCTCTCTGGTCTAACAGGTGAATGTAGCAAGCAAGCTGCATCAGCTTAAAGTCAGTACCGAAATCCATGCTGTGCTGTGGAGCAGCCGTGCAGGCGTGCAGGCCATCATAAGCCCGTGTTAGAATGACCCTGCAACCCCACACCTCATGACCGAAGATGCCAGCTGGACAGATCCGCAGCAGGAAAACACAGCGGGTACCTTGCTCCCACATTTTGCGGCTGCATTTTTTAGAGATTGAGGGGAAAAGTAATGACCCTGGTCCTTGCCTCCCTCCACACCTAGATTACACCAAAATTACAAGCCTTGTTTGATGTATAACCAAAAAGTTCTCGTTTACGTTGTTTTTATAGTATGTGACTATTAGATGTGTAAGCCCTTTTCTGCACACACACTGCTTTGTTAAAAAGTATAAAAACTACACTCAGATCTGTAGACCTTGGAGCAGTTCCTCAGAATATGTTGTTGGATTGTTTCCCAGGACTCGAGTAGCTCGCTTTGATTATCAAATATCTCCTTTAATTAACCGTTACACAGACTCTCTATTTCCGTTGGCACCCGCTCCCTCCCTTAAAGAGGTATGGGTCTACACTGCCTTGGCGAGACCCTCCCTGGCCTCAGGCTCCCTGCTTCTTGAGGAAAGTAATGATTCCATACAGAGCCCTCTAGGCAGTGGGTTTCTGCCCTCAGGGAGCTGAGACGCATAAATAATTCCCCATTTCCTGGGTAGCCTCAGAGTTAAGCCCTCACATCCAGCTGGAAAGTCTAGCTGAGATGCCCATACTCTAGCTCTCGCTCTGGGACCATAGAGATTTGAGTGCCTTCAACCCTAGGTTCAGGTCACCATCTCAGACCTTCCTTACAGCACATCTGACCTTCTAGTGGGTTCTGGGCCTGCTTCAATTTCCCAGGGATCTTTTAGATAGTTGCCTCAAAATCAAATGAAATATTTAGACCTAGTCTCTTCCAGTCCCCAAATCCCAGTGCTCAGAGCATAGAGAGAAGGGGGCATGCGCTGACCGATGGCCCACCCCAGTCCCCAGTTCTACAGGTTAAAGTCAGCTCTTCTTTTCTTCCAATCACTCAGAACTGAAGTGCCAATGGTTCCAAACTCTGAATTATCATGAAATTATAAGAAAGACAAAGTCAGAACCAATTTACAGGTGGAATTTGCTGGGAGAGAAATACAACTAGAAGATTTGAGTTCAGAGCCCCACTTCACTCTTTCTGCTAGTCAGCTTTTTCCTCCTAGGACTTATCTTCTCAGATAAAATGTTTTGCCTCTGGGTGAACACCTGCACAGTCACATCCAGAACTGTACCTGCTACCTGCTGTGAAAAGAAACTGAGTTTAACCCCGTGGGTGAGCAGCTTTATTTTCTCCTCTTGGAAAGATCTATTTTGAGACTAGAAAATTCCATCTGGTGAAGCAAAGCTTTTAATTTGTGAATGCCTAAGGTGGACTGACAGCAAGGATATCCTCCTTAATCAGACACTTGTTAGCTGAGGAAGGATTTTTCTTTCCAGGGAGACAGATCTGTCTTTCTCTGTCTCTGTCTCTCACAAAGACACACACACACACACACTTACCAGCCACTCTAGTTCACAAAGGACAAAGTGCTAGCTCCGGGATTCTAGATTTATTTGCTCAAATTGACGAGGCTGCCAATGCCTCCTGTAACATCTTTATCTCTCTTCTATCTCTGATATACAGAGAGGGAGTATATTTATATCCCCTACTCTTTTGAGGTTGCATAAAAAGTTTCCAATATTATGTCACACAGATGGATCTTGATGGAGTTTTGTTCACTTGGTAGGAAAGAAAGCTTAAATTCAAAGATAACTCTTACCATAAAGAATCAGCATAGTCCTTGATTTTTGCTAATACAATAGATCATATAGCCTCTTTCATTTTAGCTGCTAGGAAATTTAGAGACAATCTTGAAGAGCAAACAGAGCAAATATGTTATTGAGCTGAATATATTCATTTCTCCTTTCTCTCCTCTTGCTTTGATGTCTATTTATATTATTCTGGGCTGTGATTAGCTTTTCTTTTTGATGAGGAAGAGAGGCTCTGAGCTAACACGTGCTGCCAATCTTCCTCTTTTTGCTTGAGGAAGATTGTTGCTGAGCTAACATCTGTGCCAATCTTCCTCTATTTTAGGTGGGACGCCACCACAGCATGGCTTGATCAGTGGTGCTAGGTTCCTGCCCAGGATTCAAACCTGTGAACCCTGGGCTGCTGAAGCAGAGCATGTGAATTTAAACCACTACATCACCTGGCTGGCCCCTGTGATGAGGTATTTTTAATTTAACCTTGTATTTAGCCATGTTATAAACCACTCAGAATCCTTAATAGGATAAGACAATATCACATAGTGCTTAACAGCTTGGCCTTGTGAGACAGGTGTGCCTGGGTTTGAATCCTAACTCCTCCACGTTCTAGTTGTGTGAATGCCTTCACCTCTCTACTCTTTCATTTTTTCATCTGAAAATGGAAATAACAACATTTATCTCATAGGTTATAGGATATAAGAGAGTCATTGTAAATAAATCATGTATGGAGTAAGACATCAGTTAATTATATATTTTTAAAAATTCGTAACTCATTTCATTATTAATTAATTCAATCTGATCCGGGGTTTATGGAATGGTGGGCTGTTTTCTCTATAAAACAAAGCCCATGGTGCTTAACCACAAATGCATTTGATGAGATTACCTGCAGTGCACGATCATGGGGCCTTTGTTCTTCATGGCTTGCTGTCGGACCACGTGTACAAACTGCAGGATGCTTTCGGCAGCATTCGCTGTGGGCACACCATGGTCAGGCCATGCTGTGTAGTTAAAATGCATCACATCCTGCATCTCGTCAGCCTTTAGGAGAAAAAGCCAAAACAAGTATTAATCTCTCTGTCCACTGTCAGGATGGCTCAGGCCTCCCCTGCAGCTCACAAGTTAATGGTCTAAGAAGGTAAAGCCACATCCCACTCCTGGTTGATATACTTCCCTTTCTAGCTCTGAGCACTGTGTCTGCACAAAGCAGGCCCTGAAAAAAAAATACTAATTGTATAAAGCTTCAAATAGTAGGATAAATAGGCTAATCCGTGCCTGTGTAGAGATAAGAGCTTAAGCAGATCAGGTTTGCATCCTGGCTGTGCCATTTAGCAATTGCATCAGCTTTGGGCAATGAATTAAACACTGTGGAAGGTGCTACTGGTGCCCGCCTTGGGTCCACTTTGCCAGGCTGGTGCACCCCTCTCCCAGCTGCTGCTAACAGCATAGAGCTGCGCCCTTCTCCTCATAGTTGTCCTCCACTAACTGCCTCGTGGGCTACTAACTCTATGGTGCCATTCATGCCCCAGCGCTCTCCATGGGACCCAGCTGAGGCTGGACTTCAGCTGAACCCACAGCCGTGGGTGGCTTCTTCCTGCCCTGTCCCATCCTGCTTCTCTTGTTCCCTTACAGATTTTACCCAAAGTTGTACCTTCAAAAGTCAACTATAATCCCTGTCTTGGGCTCTGATACTAGGGGACTTGATCCAAGATAAATTGCTGAACACCAGTTTTCTTATTTCTAAAAAGGGTCTTTTTAGGTGTTATAGTATAACATAACCTAAAAACAGGCTTGTTGTGGGGATTAAGTGTGATCATGTTTGTAAAGGATGGTGCCTGTTAGATATTGTCATCATCACCAACACCATCTGATGATCACCCTAGCTCATGTCTGGCTCCGAGCGTTTATGTGGTTGGTTCTGGGAATCCTAGTAAGTGGGTACATTTGTATATTTATTCTATTCATGTTATCTCATCCATCAAACATATCGCTGTTCTCTCTGAACTGAGTAAATATCAGTGAGGATGTGGACCCTTCAAGATTCACTTTTTTTCAGTCCCTATTAATTTATAAGCATAAAGATTTATTCTGAGCTTGTTATCAACTGTCAGAAATATCCTAAACCCAGGCCTCAGATTAGATGAAAATCGAATTCATCCCCCACCCCTCAAACTCGTGAAGAGCCTAGAATCCACTCAGGAGGTGGAATTCTAGATCATAATTTGGGAGAGTTGGCCTGGCTATGAGTTTGGGGCTAAAGTGGAGGGTCAGGTATTAAAGAGAAATGAAATGCAAAGAGTCAGTGGTCTTGGGCAGAGTAAAATTTATATAAATATAAATAAATGTACAAATAAAATGCATAAATAAATATACAAGATTTGTGTAAGTATAAACACAAGTCAGTACTTCATAGACCCACTGTCCCCTTGACACCTAAGGCCGTACATCCCCAGCTGTGGGCAGTGCCTCCCTCATTGTGTTCAGGGATGTTTCTTAGACATATATATAGAACACAAAGTCTGCAAATATGCTGGTTACCCTCAATGCTGTCTTCGGGGAGTATGGCAAGAAGGTAACCCAAGCATAATAAACTGTGTAGAATGACTCAATTACTCAACATCATGAGGATTTAAGGATATTCAATCACTAGATAAATTTGGTTGCCCAGAAAAGTTCATGAAAATGCTGATTCTTTTCAAATGCTGATTGCAGACTTAGCACAAAGACTTGTACATTGTAGGATATATATATATATATATTCTAATACAGGTGATCTAAAAATATATCTAGCTAAAATATGCAAGGTGGTTCAAAAAAAGGAAACACGTAAATTGTCATTAGTCTTGCTTGAGCTGCAAAGCAGAGGTCTACATATCAGGGTGATCCCTGTCACCTGAATAGCAAGGTACACATCCATGGGAACAAACAAGTTTTGCTGGCTTTTAGCCTCCAGTTGTTACTCAATTCATGCCAAGTTTCAAGTACTGGAAAGTGACAAATTGGGTGTTACGGTCATTTTCCTTCCTTCTTCTTAAATGAGAAAACCCTTCTTGTTACATCTTACTGAGCCATTCCAAAATTTCTCTTACCCTGATTTCTTCATTTTTGTAATTTTATCTGGTGTACTCTGAAATTTTCCACATATTAATATGGAAGCAATAAAGAAGAATATATACAAAATGAAACAAATAAAACAATGTATTCATTGCCACAGCACAATGTTCTTTGGCAATTTAACCTTCATCCAGGAAGATTGAAATTTAGATTCTGTATGTTTATGGCCAAAAGGTGGCACTCTGGGACCAAATGCTTCTAACTACTGTATAAACACTTTACCAGAAAACACTATTATTCAATGCTTTATTCCTATATTTCAAGCCCTTCACATGATTGTCGTTGAAAGATAGGTCATTGTTTAGGACCAAGGACAAGAAAGCACAGCATTGACCATACAATGAGCTGTATGACTCTTCCTTGTCAAGGTAACAGATGTGGGAACAGACCTTATTCATTTCTCTGCAACTTTTTTCTTCTAAATGCAAACCCAGGGAAACATTTGTTCTAGCAGTTTGCATTGGCTTTCCGGCTGAAATAGCCAAGAAAGAAAGCATAGTTCAAATGGCATTCATTTGTCAAATATTATCTCTGATGGAAAGTCCAGTGCTTTCCAAGTGCTTTATTATTTTTGAAATCATTCATTCACTCACTGATTTATTCATTCCACAAAGATTATTAAATGGACAAGAGTTGGGATTCTAAGGATTATTGAAATAGGGTACTTGCTTCTGAAACTCACAGCATTCCGGGGAGGCAGACATGAAGAGAGAATTGTAACCCTTTCTGGCATACTGTGATGGAGCAATATGCATGAGACCGGAGCAGAGGAGACAAGGGATAAAGGTCTCTTGAGACTAGGGAAAGCTTAACAAAAGAAGTGACATTTGAGCTGAAACTCTATTTGAATAGGAATGTGCTTAGGGAACAGGAGGAGATGGGCATTTCAAAGAAATGGAACAGCATGAAGCACAGCCTGTTACAATCATCCTGGGATTTGCCAGATCCTCATGGTAGCAAAAGCCATTGCCAACTTCCAGTGGTTAAGAAGTGATTTAACTCTTGCAAATATCAATAACTGGCTAGTTAATGAGTGCTTATATTGCATTGACGCAGACAACCTTTGTTTTCATTGTCTACATTGAGAGTCAGCAAACATTTTCTGTAAAGGGCAGACTAAATATTTTAGGTTTTATGCATCACACAGTCTCTGTTGCAACTATTCAAGCTTGGTGTAGCACAAAAGCTGTCAGAGGCAACAAGTATACAAATGTACGGCTGTCTTTCAATAAAATATTATTTACGGACACTGAAATTTGAATTTCATGTAATTTCCATATGGTATTTCATGTGAAGTATTCTTCTTCTTCTGATTTTTTTCAACCACTTACAAATGTAAAACTTATTCTTAGCACATGGGCTTTACAAAACAGGCAGTGGTCAATTTGTCCATAGGCCACGGTTTCCATCCCCTGACCTAAAGTGTTGAGAAGGGCTGTTTCTAAGCAGAGAACATTTCAATGAGGAATTTCTTATTAAACTTTGTCCTCAACATAGAGCATGTTTAAGTGGAGAATACTAGCAAAACTTCCCTGCCATTTTCTAGGACTGTTCTATGTGAAGAAGACAACAGGGTGACTGTAGTTGATGTCGTTGTCCTCACCTAGCCTGGCACACAAACATTCGGCAGGAGCTCAAAGGCTTGTCATCAGAGGGTAACAAACTTTATGGGAAAAGTAGACCTTTTTTTGACATTCTAACAATCAGAAATCAAAGGCATTTCACTAAGAGATATGGAACCATGATTAACAAGGCCTAGAAGTATCTTTGAAATAATAAAAACTAAACCAGAACAAAATAAGAAAAAAAGCCAAACAAAACAAACCCAAACTACTAAATCATGGTTTAAGTGTTTAATGTAAAATGTAATTGTGCCTTGTATATCCTAATTGTACTCACAGATGGTTAGTATAAGTAATGAGAATACTTCCCTCCTCAATCGTGCCTTGTGAGCAATAATTCTGTGTCTTCTGCTGCCCTGGGCTAATCTGAGATGGAACAATGCAGACTTTTTATTCCATCTCCCCAGGCCCTCCAGACCAACCATTTCATCCACACCATGGTGGATGAAATGGGAAACAAGTACATTAAAGTGAGATTTTTTTCCTGGAAGGAAGAAATGTTGCAGAGGTTGATGTGCTCTGAGCGTCTTACATGATGGTGGGTTGGTCTCCTGACACCTGGGGGGGATCCCTCAGTTTGGGGACAGATCCGAACTTATGCTTTGTGACTTACATAGTTGATCTGGAAGTGTCTACAGGCCCAGTCGTCCTGCTCTTCCTCCGAGACCATCTCCACAGTGATGTCTCCGTAAGCTATGGGTTCCTCTGTGAACGGCCAGTAATGGTCACATTTCACCTGAGGGGACAAGAACAATCTTTCCAAACAAACAGGCCAGGGAAGAAATAGACTGTGCTCATTTAGTGAAAACAAAAGTACTTGCCTCTGAAGAAAAATAAAGCGAGTGGAGCAGTTGGTGGTACAGAGTAAGCACTCAACCCGTGGCAGCGGCTGAGGCAGGTTTTGCTGCTAAGTGAGGACAACCCCATTAGGCACTTACCCTCCTTTTCTCATTACACTGAGTGAGCATGACAATAATCTGAGACTTCTGTTGTAGGACCATCTTCCAAAAGTCATTTCTGGTTTCAGGCAGTGGTCCCTGTGTAGCAATATACTCCTGGGGTGAGTTGTAGCCCTGAAAGATAAGTGACAAAATTGTCACCTAAGGAGCCAGTGTCAACACCAAATGCTCTTCCAGACAAATAAGAAAAAACTGCAAATTTACTGGGGATAAACCTGGCAAAGGATCACACACCTAGGTAATGTTTTCTCCTTTTCTCATCAAAGAGACAGAAGAACTGACCATATAGGGCTGTATGATTTTAAGCATTGTTTTCGGGAAGCTTATAAAGTCACACCCACACCTTTTCATGATAAACATCATTATCTTTACAGACATTTTAAGAGCACAGGGGCTCAGAAGGAGCCCTTTGAGTTTAACTGCCAACATGGAAATTTAAACACAAGAAAACTGATCTTTAGTATTTAATTATTTACTTTCACTTTCACTAGACCTTTACAAAGAAACCTGAACGTTACTAATCTCTGGGCTTTTTTCTCCCCTTTCTTTATTCTGAAATGGAATAATGGAAACTGTTCTTTAGAACTGGATTGCTGGGTGGAGAATGGCTCTCTTTTTAGCTGTTGGACGCATCCCTGTAGCCCTAATAGTCTTCCTCTGGCTGGGCTAGAATTCGGCTGTCTATTTGTGTATTTTTAAATTTTTCACTTACGGGGATGTAGTTGGCATTAATGTAGTCAGCACCTTCCTCTTCATTCATGGAGACTAATCTCACTCGGCTAAAGTCGTCTGTAGAGAAGAAGAAAAGAGATATTAAAAATCAGAGTGGAAGAAAGAATTGTTTTGAACCTTTCTACTCCTATCAAGTCAATATAGTCAGTGATAGAGTAGGAATATAAAGTTTATTTTAGCTTGATATTTTAGCCATACCTCAATCTTAGTTTCTTATCTAAAAAAATATGCAAATATCTCTCAATCACCATTTTCTCCCCACTAACTCCCCTATCCTTGGAAGAACTGTCTCCAGGTTTTGTGGGGTATTGTGAAGAATATTTGCAGGAATGAAAATACCTGGTAGATTGTGTGGAAGGCTAAAGAATGTAGCCTAAATCCATGATTTCCATTTTACTTGGGACATTCAGAGGATTCACTACCTTTGAGAAAACTTTTCTCTAAGAGAAGGTGGAGTTGCATGGGTTTTTTGTAAATGGAGTTCAAATGAGAAAAGTAAACTCTGAAATGTGCATAGATGTCAGGTGTTTTAATGATAATACTACCTAAGTTTATCAAGAAACTCTATTAAGGAGAAAGTTCTCTTTCTGGAACTTTTTCAGCCTTGCTCTTTCACTTTTCCACTCTCTCCCAGCTCCCCCTAGAGTGTAGCAAAGAGGAAAGTTAAATCTATATTGGAATATATTTTAATCATCCTGTAAGTACTTTACATTACTTTTTCATTGAATGTTGCCTTTATGACAAAATGCTAAGCAATAACAGAACCTGGCAGAAGTAGGGAAGAGGAGGCATTTTAACACATTGCACTCCCTTCCCATTTGCCTCCTTCCATTGTCAATGAATTCACTGAAAATAGTTTAGAAGAGCACAAATTACCTTATCCCTAAGAGTTTTTGATCTCCAAAGAGCCAAATGGTCAGTCATTTCTGCTCAGAGACAATTCATTTAAAAGCATAATAATTAAATCTTCCTCATACAATAGGATCTAATGACATCAAAACACAAATGTGATCAATACAATTGAAGAGATGGCCTTGAGGATCCAAACCACAGCTGGGTCTGGCTAGAGATTAGAAAAACTGACTAATCTGCAATAACTGTCCTTCAGCCTTTGAAAGACATGAGCAGGATCGGCACAATTGACAATCTTACATGGTAGGATGTTTGTGTAACGATTTTTACATCGGTTCAGTGGCAGGTCTGCAGCAAAGTGTGAAATATCCAGTCCAATCAATTTCAACTCCTGTAAATGACAGAGAATAGACTTGAGATTTCCGTACATGGTGTGGATTGGATTACTGATCACATTGGCTTATAGTTCACACTGGATTATCCTTCACTCCTGGCCTGTAATGGAATTATCATACCACCTTTGCCGTAGAAAGTCACAGTAGCTCCCTTTTGGAGCAGAGTGTACCTCTTCACTCCACTGTTGTCAACTTGCTTTAGCCAATGAACTTGGGTAGATAAGAACCTTTAAATGTGCTTTCTTAGTTTGGTTTGCCTTCTTGTTTTTCTGCCTTCTGCTGTGAAAAGAACGTGCCCAGGGAAGCTACCAGTCCCAGAATGAAGAGACACATGGAGCAGACCTGACTCTGATCCATAGCCTGAAGCAGAACTGCTTCCCTGTCCCACAGACCCATGAGTAAGAAAAATCAATGTTGTTGTAGGTCACTGAGATTTATACTATATAATGCTTCTATAGCATTATTGCAGTAATTACCCACTAATATAACATATAAATACCTTGGCTAACTTGTTGATCATGTGGAGAGGTAAGAATTATGTGTATCATACTCAAGGAGTGGGAAATTTGAAACCAGAAATACATTTCAGATTTTTGGAGGTATAGGATATCTGAAATATATGCAATTTGCGTAAATATTTCTTATTCTATGAGGAAATATAGGTCTTTCTCCTGCAGGCAATGAGCCTTAGAGAAGATAGTAAACGAAAGAGTGAGGAGCAATGAGTAGGGAGCATTCTCCATGTTACAAGATGTACGATTGACAGTAATTAAATATCTGGTCATTAAACCTCAAAAATAAAGATGAATCAGTAATGAGTGGGTAAAAATTAGGAGAACATCCAAATATATGTCTGTATACATCAGTACTCTTATAAATCCTACTATCCAGAGGTGCGTTGATAGGGCATTTTTATATAAACAGACAACCACCACACTTCAACAAGGAATATTACTGGAAAAAGGGGTTTCTAAGCTGCTGTGTCATGTGTCTGATGGGACCAAGGGGTTGTAGTCAGGCCAGCTGGATTTCCCTGTGGTCTATGTGAATAGCGCTCCCTGGAATCGTGCAGTGCACAACCAATGCAGCAGATCTAGTTATATTCTTGTACAAATTTGAGGGAAATATCAGTAAACAGCATATGTAACCATCTACAAATGGGATTACCTGGCTAGTATGCATCTTTCTGTAAGACTATTAAGTGAGGCAGGAGAGAGACCGCTACAAGTTTTATTTACTCATTTAGGATGTTAATATTGCGAACAAGTTTTACTCTTCATAATTCCTGCCAATTATCTCTTCAAAGAATCTTTGACATAGGAATACTTTTCTGGGGGAAGAATGTTGAAAGACTTTCGAAGGAGGTTGGAGACATTTGACGATGTTTTGAGAGGTAGAACAGGGATATCTCTTTCATGTTCTTTCTGTCTTGGTTCAAGAGCTCTTTGCAAAGCATATGCTTTAGAGATCAAGTTCTTGGGTCTTCTGCTGCTTCCCCATAGAAGTTCCTCCGCAGTTGAATGTGCTTATTGGCATGGGGATGCAAACCTGCAGTAACCTGATGAACCAACCTCGATTGCCCAGATTTCTCTCTTCCCTTGGTTCTGCATCACTTCTGGCTTTTCCAGATCACAAAACCTCAAGCTCCTTGGCTTAAGTTGAAGCTAATCTTAAAGACAAACTATGCTGACTTTGATCTCTAATTCAAAAATTAAAAGTTTTTCCATCTCAGGCAAAATTCTTGCTTGCCAAATGCCTTTAAACAGAAGATTGTCACAGTTACTTTATAACTGATTTTTCCATTTTAAAGGGTTTTCAAAGACTGTCTATATCGTTCTCCTAAGAAATAAAACATTTTAAGCAAACTTCAACCAAATCAGTGTTATTTTTAGGTTAGTTCTTCTTGGCAGCCATAAGCTTATTTAAATGATGCTTCTATTGCTTAACATATTTTGGAAATCTACTTCCTTTAGAGAATGTCTTTATAGATAGTTTATGAAAACATCTGGCTTATTTGGGTGTACCACTTATAAATTGTAGGGTTTTAGAAAAGTAGCTCAACTCTCATTAATGTCAGTTTAATTATCTGTAAGATAAGGCTAATAATATCACCAGACTGCACTGGCATATAGTGACTACCAAACGGAATGATTACACTCAACGAATATTAGAGCAGCACTATTGATAATGATTGTGAAATGCTTCTGTAATGATTCTTTGTTTGTTTTGCTTTGCCTGGCTCCATAATTCCTCCCTCCTTTGTCATTTGTGCTAACAGACCAACAACGCTCCCCACAAATCCCCTGCTTTGAGGACAGACTGATGAGCTACAGGAAAAGGTCTCGGATATGGAAGACACTGTGGAAATAGACTGAGGCTGAAAGCTGGAGCACATATGGAAGCTGACTAACTGATAGAACTTTAATTGTGTGTTGCCTCCCTGCTGTAAATGCCCTAAGTTCATAAGAGATATTTAATTGGCTGAACACTATAAATGTAAATTGCCAAAGCTGAATCACAGCAAAGCAAGAACAGCATGTGTACACAAAATGCTTTGCAATCTTTGTAATTTAGCCTGTCACTAAGTGGGAAATCAAATACTAGTTTCCAGTTCAGTAGCTTTGCAGTTTTATTTTCTTTCCAACCATATGGAAACTCTGGAGGCTTAAATCTTTATCAAGGCAAAGTATGAGGTGATGGCCTGAAACCAATAGAAACCATTTTTGAATTTTCTTTTGCCAGTTTTGTTTCTATCATAATTTATCATCATGGTTTTGATTTTTTTTCCTCTAGGCCACACAGTCATCCACAGCGGGTTGAATGGTGGTGCCCTAACAGATATGTCCGCATCCTAACCCTCAGAACCTGTGAACGTGGCCTTATTATGAAAAAGTCTTTGCAGATGTCATTAAGTTTAGGAGCATGAGATGAGATCATTCGAAGTGGGTCCTAAATCTAATGACAAGCATCCTTATGAAAGAGGGAAGAAGAGAGGCCATATAAAGATGGAGGGCATAGATGAGAGTCATGCAGCTGTAAGTCAAGGAGTGCCTGGAGCCACCAGAAGCTGGAAGAGGGGAAGAAGGATTCTCTCCTAGAGCCGTCAGAGGGAGCATGGCCCTGCTAACACCTTGATTTTGGACTTCTGGTCTGTAGAATTGTGAGAGAATAAATTTCTGTTGTTTTAACTCACAAAGATTGTGGTAATTTGCTATGGCAGCCCTTAGAAACCAATATAGACACCAAAGCCCAGCGGCAGTCTACATTGTGTTGGCTGGGTTTGAAGCATACCAGTCTTCAAAAGCAAAGCACAAGCACGGGCACTCTATCAGTCTGCTTGTGCCGTCACGACAGAATATCACAGCCTGGGTGGCTTAAACAAAAGAAATGCATTTCTCACAGTTCCAGACGCTGCGAAGTCCAAGATCAAGGTGCTGGTAAGGTAGATTTCATTCTGAGGCTTCTCTTGGCTTATAGGTGATCATGCCTCACTGTGCTCATGTGACCTTCCTCATCTAACCCCAATTCCCTCCCAAAGTCCCCATCTCCAATACCATCACATTGGGAGTTAGGGCTGCAACACATGAATGTTGGGAGGACACATTCAGACCCTAACATGCACCATCACCTTCTGAGCACAAGCTATATTCTGGCTGAAGAGTCTGTAACAATGTGGGCAGGTGATGAGCACTTGGTACTTGCTTTGGGATAGGCTGGACGAAAGTCCAGGTGAGTTAGATTACTAGACTATGGAACAAGTGAGGAGAAACAATGTGATGAGTGGTGTGGACATAAGAGCTTCTATCTACGGCAAGTAAAGGGTCCAGAAGAAATGGGCAACATCCAATTACCTTTCAGGTAAACACAAAAGGAGAGGATGGATTTAGAACAAGCTATTTAGTGAGGTTCCGTATTAGTTTCCTAAGGCTGCCACAACGAAGAACCACAAACTGTGGCTTAAAACAACAGAAATTACTTGTATTATAATTCTGGAGGCTCTAAATCCAAAATCAAGGTGTCAGCAGACAATATGACCTCTGTAACCTCTGGGGGAATCCTTCCTTGCCTCTTCCTAGCTTCTGATGGTTTGTTGGCAATCTTTGGTATTCCTCCACTTGCAGCTGGTAACTCCCATCTCTGCCCAAGTCACCAAGTCACTCAAGTGACTCTTGCCATCACATTCTTCCTGCTTGTCTCTGTGTCTTCACATCGCTATCTTTTCACCAGTTGTATTGGATTGAGAGCCTACCCTACTCCAGTACAACCTCATTTTAACTAATTACATCTGCAATGACCCTATTTCCAAATAAGGTCACATTATGAGGTTCTGAGTGGTTAGGGCTTTGACGTATCTTTTGGGGGACACAATTCAACCCGTAACAGATACTCTAAAAGAAGAATGGAGTGCAGTCATGATAGAAATTCTGGGCAAGTGATAGAAGACTGAGTAAGAAGGAAGTCAACCTCAGGAGAGTCTGGCAATAGCTGGCAGGGCCCTGGGCTCTAGGATGGGATTTAGGGGCAACACTCCAGTCAGTGGTCAAATTACTAGTACAGGCACTCGGAAACAGAGAGCAAACCTAGGAGATTAAGAATGAGAGGAGAGAAAACTCAGGTCTGGGAACAAAGCAAGACCCCTGGTGTGAGAACTGTTGGAAAGGGTTCAAGGTAACTTATTTCAACGACGGATGCAGGTAAGTCAGCAGTGAACTGGACTGAAACGCAGGTAAAAACAGCTGCAAGTGGGAGCTGCCACCAGAAATCAAAGGTCATCTTTTGTGAGCCAAGTGGTAGGTAATGTAGTTTGTTTTGATCTTTACTGCCACATTTCTGAACAAAGGTGGTGAGGGCTTTCCCTAGAATCCTGATCAAACACAAAGCACAGAAATTAATGGCAGAATGAGCAATATGTGGTATGTCTCATGGGCTCTCAAATTTCAAGCTTTAAAGTCTGGCTCTTTAAAACCTTTTCCATATGAGACATAAGAAAAGAGGAACTGAATCTAATCCCTGGGTCCCAAACCTCCTTAAGAAAAGATGTATATTTTCATCAGAAGAATAATCAATCTTTCCAGCAGATCCAAAATCAGATGCAGAGTGAAAAACGAATTTATTCAGTGAACGCAAGTTAGCCACTCGTATAGCTTCATGTGTGACTTATAGCCGTATTGGGAATATATGTAAATCAACACATTAGTTTCAATTTACATAATGCTTATGAATGATGTAATTTATCAATATGAGTGTGATATTTCAATGTCAGTATCAAAATGAACATGAGTATTAAGCACTAATATAAACAGAATAAATAACTGTTCAGCTAGTGGATTTAGCAAGACCGGATGATTCAGCCATCTTAATACTCTCTTGGGTAACCATTAGAGCAGGAAACATTTTCTTTTTCCTTAAGCCTAAATTAATTATCAATTTCAGGAGAGTTTGAGGACTGCCATGTGAAAGGTCTGACATGCAACCTGATATTAGGTACGGAAGCATAATGCGTCTTTGAAAATAGATGAGGATATGCTGACAGTGAACCTGAGGATGTCGGGGTAGGGTGGACTTGGGGACTGGCAATGCCTGGAAGACTGTCAAAAGAAAAAGGAAGTGAGTCACATCAGTGGGTCACTGCTTGAACAAATGTTAGTCCAAAACATACAATCTGAGCCTATGATTTAAAGCAGACTTCTGGAGAGTAATTTGTCTTTTCTCACCAGAGCAGAAATACAAGGTCAGGACTTGGCACCAAATAAATTACATACATGACCAATAATGTTCTAAGAACTAGGATATATAAGAAAAAAGCTTCATAATAAATAAAAATACCAAACACTTCCCCAAATCATGGTGTGATGGTTGATTTTATGTGTCTACTTGGCTAGGCTACAGTGCCAGGTTGTTTAGTTACACATCAATCTAGATGTTAAGTGAAGATAGTCTTTAGATTAGATTGACATTTAAATCAGTAGATTTTGAGTAAAGCAGATTATCCTCCATAACGTCTATGGGTCTCATCCAGTCAGTTAAAGGTCTTAAAAGAAAAGACTGAGTTCCCCTGAGGAGGAAGGAATTCTGCCTTCAGACTGCCTTCAGACTTGCGCAGCACTATTAGCTCTTTTCTGGGTCCCCAGACTTTCCTGCAGATTTCAGATTTGCCAGCTCCCATAATCATATGAGCCAATTCCTTATAATAAATCTCTCTCTCCATATTTATCCTATTATATCATCACATACATAGGATATATATCCTATGTATGTTTCTCTGGAGAACCCTGAATAATACAAATGAGGTACATGAGTTATAAAACTTGGCTGTATCCTTGTCCCACATTTAGTCCAAGGCTTCTCAATGGAATGCTACTGGCCCGGGAAAATCCTTTGTTGTGCAGGACTGTCTCACTCATTGCAGAACATTTAATATCCCTGTTCCTCTCTCCATTAACTACCACTAGTAGCTTCCTCCCAAGTCATTATGACAACTAAAAATACTCCTGCACATTTCCAAACTCCCCCAGGAGACTGCCTGGTACTCGCCCAGTTGAGAACCACCAACTTAGTTCACCATACCCATTTAATAGATGAAGAAACTGAGGTGATGAGAAATGTGTGATTTTTTTTCAATATTAATTAGTAGCAAAATGGTAGTGAGGACCCAGGTTTTTGGATTCCTCAAATTCCCTTTCCTTATAAATCCTATGAAATAAGCCTAGATCTGTTCATTTGTACATTGAATGTATACAAGCCCTCAACATGTTATAAATGAACATTTAGCGCATACAATTTACCATTCTACCCTTCATATTTTTGAAGTGTCTGAAGCTAGGATCTAATCACTTAATGTTTGGTTCTCTCAGTGTCTTCTCTGTTTTGGGGAATAATGCTCTCCTTTGCTGGTTTGGCCATGTGGCTCCAGTAAGAGGTGTCCCGTTCTTATGTGATTCTTCCCTCCCTGGGACATCATGACCCAAGCCAGCCCATCAGAACCCTCCCCTGTTATTTTTCTATCTGTCAACAAGAAAGAGAGTCAACAGTTCCTTTTGGAAACTGCAGAAACTACGGGATGGATAATCAGAGATTGCAGCGGTTGTGTTTTCCACTATGAGAAAGAGGCTGGTTTGCAGTGAAAGAAAGTGAAGCCAAGACAGAGAAAGAAGCAGAAATGAGAGATAAAAAGAGAAGGTCTCTGCAGGAGTGTGGTCCCTGGTTCCCGTGACTGAGCTGCTTCCCTGCCCTCCTCCTGGTTTAGCTACTCAAACTTTCCTTTGATTATATGAGACATTATCTTTTGAACAAATTCTCTTTTCTTTTGGTTAAAACTAATTTGAATTGTGTCACTCACAACTAAAACAATCTTTTCTTTTCTGCAGAAAATGACTTACTGAGCTTTTTGTTATAATGATGTGATTCAGAAGCTCAGTCATAGTTACATTGGAGTTTGATGGCGTAAACTGGGGTACTCCTAATCCTCCCAGAAAAGGCAGTGACCCTAGCTATGCCACCAAGGTCATGTCATCCTGTAAGAACCAGGATGCTGTGGTTTCAATGAGGTTGAAAGTGTACCTACATCACAATTTTCATCATCATTATTGGAATTATCTAGATATTTATTTTTTTCTGAGGATTGGCTTATATTTTTTTATAAAAAGACTCCTTTCAATGATATAGTTTTCTGAAATGCCATTCTCATCATAGATCTCCAACTTCAATGCTTTGAGATATAGCATTTGGTGTAGCATCTGTAATTTCTTACGCATCTGCATGCAATGGATAAGTGAGTCAAGCTCTATGTGAAATTTCTCATGACACGGGGGGTAGTTAGGAACTTTTGTATTTGATAATGTATAAGGTTCTTCTCATGCTTGAATTCTCTGCTAGAATATCCAGATCAGGACTCCAGCTGCTTCTTGCAGACCAAAGCTGTCCTTGGCTAATGAGGTCAAAGAAGAAATGAATATTAATAATGAGGAGAAAGCAGCCACATTCTACAATCTGGTATTTCCCAGGAAACAGCACCTGAGAGACATTTTAAAAACCTACAGTATTTACCCTTTTCCCTGGTTTCCCTGGGTCATGGGCCACTCAAGCCTTGCTGTAGAAACCTGAAGGCCGTGAGGGCATCCAGACTGTGTTATGAGCTGTGAAATATGTGGGAAGAAAACCTGAGCACCTGTTATATTCCTCACACTGCTGACATCCTAGACTTACTTGCTTCCATCTACTCTGACATATGGTCTTGGATTCAAAGAAATATGTGGGCTTCAGAGAAAGAAACAATTTTTTCTTCTTTTACACATGCTGTGCATAACTCTCTTTCTACAATTTCACCAACAAGAGAATACGAAACCTCACAAGGGAATCTTAGAATGCCAGTAGTCCTATAGTTATAAGAGCCCCATCGTGGGCTTTTCTATGCCCAGTTGACAAGGGGGGGGGGGTCTGTTTCATCCACCATCTACCCTTACCGTGGCCTAAGAGGTATGAGAAACACACTGAAAATCCCCTGACAGTGAAATTCTGTTTCAGGGCTCAATCTTCAGCTTGCTTTCCCCTGCACTCTTAGTGGCCTTAGTTTTCAATGATGGTGTCTCCTATAAGCATGCTTGTTCTTCCCAGCACCTCCTCTGATCTCTCCTTCCCTTCATTTGTGCCACCCAAGTCCTGACCTACAAACGAAGGGTTGACATCCTTGCTCTGACCGAGCGGATTAGACGCCCCTGAGCCCAAGGACCATCCTGCCCGTTATGAACAACATCACAAGCACTGTTTAGTGGGCTGGGAAATGATGCCAATACAGTTCCCATGCCCTGTCCAGCACAGAAAGCAGGAAATAGGAAACACTTTGTCCACTCACCTCAAATTGAAGAGAAAATTTATAGTCAGAGTCTTTGGCCATATCCTTGATGTAGGCGTCAAAGTCGTCCAGTTGAACCGGGCTTTGTCAAACACAAAGAAAGACATGTTTTAAGAATTCTGTTGATAGGTATTATCTATTGTTTAACACCATATTTCTCAAACGTGAACGATTTTCTTGGAGAAAATAAAAATTTTACTTCTCAAATGTTAGCACTCATCTTTCTTTCTTTTTTTGGGGTTAAAGCTACAAGTCCCTATCATGTTGTAATTCAAAAGAGAACCATATGTATTAAACTTTCTTGTGATAGGAGAAATCTCTAGATTTTAAATTGGCTCTTATTCCAGCAGTGAAATATTATATATATGTGTACTCATATACACTTGTATATGTGTTGTTTCTAGAAAACTCTGGTTTATGGGAAAGGACAAAGGATTAGAGTCTGAAGACCTGTTTGAATTATGATTTTGCTTTTTTGACTGTGTGATCCTGGAGAATTTACCTAACTCTTCTGAGTTCAACATTCTCATCTATAAAATACTATAGTCATGCCTACTTCACAAGGTTGACACACGCCATATTGAAGAATCTTGTAGGTTTAAGCAAGCTTTACAAGTATAAGGAATTGTGCCATCTACCCAGAGCAGAGGCACGGTGGTGGAATGAAGCATTTCTCCAGAGAGCTCCCAGTGCCTCGCTCTGAGACAGCCATGTTTCAAGGCTTGCTTGTCTATAGAAGTATTGAGATGGTTCAGAGGTACAATCAAGTAATATATCCCAGCTTATGTTTCTGCATCTGTAGCAGAAGTTCTCACCTCTTTTCTAGTGTTTTTTTTTTGTTTGTTTTTTTGTGCATGTGCATGAGAATTAAATTTTATTTCCTGTAGTTTACTGTGGCTGCTTATCTCTTCTTGAGCCTACCTGTACCAATCTGCTCCCTAAGCTTCTGCAGGATGCCACCCTCTGTCAGCTAACCTAAGTCTTTCCACCTTGGCAGGGTCCACATAGTTGACCTGTCCCTTAGTCTTGTTGCAGCTTTTTCAACTTATATCATCTACCTGTGGTCTTACGTCTTACCAGGAAATACATAGTGTTTAATAGGTATTTGTCTAAAGTTGTTGACTAGCTAATCTGATAGATTAATTTAGGTTAAGATTTTAGTAAATTTTAAAAGGCATTATACGTCCCAGTAATATATTTAAACTTTAATAGTTTTACTTAATAATAGTAACATTAATGACTTGTATCCATAAAACTTACTATAGATCATAAATATTCACATATATTATCTTGCTTGGTTGATGGTTGAGGCAGCCATGGACAACATTAGCCCCATGCTCCAGATGATAGAACCAAGGCTCAGAGAGTTAAGTGAGTCATCCAACATCACGTGGCTACTAAGCGTAGAACCCTTACTAGAACCCAGGGAGAATGATTCCTGGTTAAAAGCTTTCCCACTTCAAACTTGCTGTCCTCCAAAACAATGGCTGAATGTGGGGCTCCTGGCCTGGAATGGACTATATTAGAGCTGCACCATCTGGCTGCTGTCTTTGAGCAGTGCGTTGACCTTAAAGTTGGATTTAATCATTCTAGTTTTCATCTCATTACCAGGCAAATGGGAGCATCAAGATGGAAAGTGAATTGGAGAAAATATTTATGGGTTAGAAAAAGCAAAAGTAGGAAGAAGAGGCAAAATAAAGACAGAGGAAGAATCAGCAACTAGAAGAATGAGCATCAGGGTGAGGAAGAAGATGGCAGGGAGGAGAAAAAGAAAGCTGAAAGGGAGCAGAGATCAACAGGACAAAGATTTAAAGGGAAAAAGGGAAAGAGAAGGTGTGGAAAGGAGTGGTGGAATGAAGGTAAGTGGAGACAGGAAAGGGGAGCTGGGGGTGGTGGGGAGGCGTTTGAGTGAAAGAGAAAAGTAAAGAAAGGTGAGCAGGAAAGGCCCTCAAGAAATGGCTTTTAGAGAAGCAGGGAGGATTAGAAGGAAAATAAGAGGGAAGGAGGAAGTTAGTGTGATGTGAGGTTTTGGCTTGTGGGCAGTGCCACCAATCCCACACTCTACCTCAATTTTTGTCCACATCCTGCTTCTCCTTCTCCTGTCTGCCTGGGTCTTGGGAGGAGCAAGCCCTGAAAGAGTCTCTGCTTTTGGTCCTAAGACTCTGTCCTGTAACTTCTCGAGTCTATGCCTCTCTACCTCACTTAATAACCCAACCAATAATTTGGGGCAAGAAAGTCTTCCTGTTTCTGTCAAATCATTCCTTCCAGGTGGCAGTCCTCCTCCTCTGTTTCAGCTGATCTTGTCTTTCCTACATCACTTGATACATGCAAGTGGAATGTGTACTCATTAGATTTAGGAAAAATTATCCTGTTATTTATATGTGCCACAAAATTATATGTCACTCAAGGCTAAATAGAAATATTTTTGCATCCACTTTTCTTTTGTACTATGTACTCCATGGTTTCGTCCCATTAATGTGGATGCCATAGATCTGGCCGGAATCTCTAATTGCCTCATATGAATTCACCAATATTCTATCTTACGTAAGCATCAAAGATGAACTCTATTTATAGGAATGGTCTACTTTTTATATGCAGTGTTTTAATTAAAGGCCTAGAGGTGATAATCTGGTTAGTCTTTTGAAATCAACTGATGGCTAATTTTCACTCATCACAATCTTAATTCTTATGACATAACAGTTTAGTAGATAGTGAAACCACAGGCTATCTAGAGAAATTATCCTTTTCTATTTACTGTAAACATTTACTGAGACAGCATTCTGCCAAGTATTTATTATAATATCAAAGAGAGTGAAAGCCTTTTCCTGCAATAAGCACAGAATTTCAAAATACAAAATGGCAAAGGTTTTTAGACAACTTTGATGTAGCTAAATATTAGATTTTTTATAGATTTAGAATAGCAGACTTCCTTCTGCGAGACTTATAATTCTGGATTGTCCATTCTGTCTCAGATTTCAAATGGTGATTATTTTCCTTATTCCTGACGTAGTTTCTGTGATACACTTTCTCAGTGGTCACTGCCATCTGTTTGTATAAACACACAAACACATAATAGCTTAGCCATTATAATATACATTTGCCTCTTTCTTAAGCGTCCCTTCTATTTAAAGATAAGCAATCTCTTTAACTTGAAAAGTTTAGATTATTACGAAGAGCATTCATTTTTATATGAAATATTTGTAAATGAAATAGTAAGAAAAACTTACATCAAAGTTGCTAAGAGACTAGATCTTAAGTGTTTTCACCACAAAAAGAAAAATGATAATTATGTGACATGGCGGAGGTGTTAGTAAAGCTACAGTGGTAATCATATTGCAATATATTGAGTATCAAATCAACACATTGTACACCTTACACTTCCACAACCTTATATGTCAATTATATCTCAATAATAAAAAAAACTTACTTAGTCAGTTTCCTCTTCTTTAAACCATTTTTACTCCTGAGAATTAAAAAAAAGACAAATTTATCTGGGCAAAAGAATTGATAAACATAATGATTAAACTTGAAGAGTCTTCAATAATTACATCAGGCACCTCAATTTTATTTAATTTTCATTAAACATATCTCATGTTTGTTTAATTACTTTTCCTTAAATGAGAAGATAATGATAATAATTTCAGATTCACTTTTACAAATTTGATTAGGCTGCACTTCATAGATCATATTTTCCAAAAACTGAATTCTAGAAATATAATAATTTCTTGCTGCCAGTGAATAAGTTGCTAAAGTACTTTGTAAATATATAGAAGTATCCACTGCCTGAACACTCCAGGCTCTACAGGCAAGAAGAAAAGAATCGGAGAATAAAAGTGAGCACTGACGATGGGAGGGTGGATGTATTGGTCTCTTAATTAAAGACTAAAATAAGCTTTTCAGACATTTTTGTTGGGCATGTGAATTTGTGCTATCGTGTTGGCATGTGTTTTATATAATTCTCTTATGGCATTGTTCTTATTCAATTTTGAATTAGTTTTTAAGCTGTCTGAAGAACTATCTGCTTGTTCTGAATTCATGACTAGTCTGTATGCTCAAACACATGCAATGCTAATGTATGCTTCATACATAATGCTGTGCATGTCAATTACATTTTTAAGGGGATATTTAGGGTAATCGTTTTCAACCAACAAGTAAGACAATTGATCTAAGTTAGCTAACGCTAAGATAGTATCTACTGAAACACTTAAATATTGTATTTTTATTGTCTTATTTAAATGATAAATATTGATACATGACTGTGAGTGACAATTTTTATACGTAATTTTTGAAAGTCTTTAAATATCAGTGGAAGCACCCAACCTTTCAGAAAATAAACAATCTGTGGTAAATAACCAGCTGTGATCTGAGGACTGTCATGTGCCAAAATGTTTATTTATATTGAAAATTATGAGTGTTTGAATACCTCCACTTCTGGAAAGCCTTAGCAGAATCAAGCACACATCCTCTGTGCTTTCATAGCCCGTTGCTTATGGAGTATTTCTCACATGGTCTGACTGTCGGTTGCTTATGCACTTCTTGATAGACTGCCCTCTGCCCCCAGAGCTGAACACAGTTAATGGTACGCGTAGGAGGTGGCCAACAGATGCTTATTTAATTGAATTGAAACAAAACATCTTTGCTGTGTCACGCTCATGACTTTACTTAATGATTCAATTAAGAATTTCATTCTAGAGTTGGGCATGTGAGGTCCACTTGGGGAAATGGGGCTTGTGGATGGAGTGGAAGTAATGCAGGGTAGGAAATGTAGGGAAATATCCAGAAAGAAAAGTGGTGTTTCTGGTTTTCATTTTCTGGTTTCACGTAGTTTGAGTTCTTCTTCCTTCTGAGTAAAGACAATCCATTCAATAGTTTCTATCCTGTTTTTTCTCCTTCATCCTCTTTGTCTTCCATACTTGGGATTTAGAGGGAATAGACACACCAATTTTTACTTTGCCTCTCCTTCATTCCCTCAAGACACACTGTAATGTTGGACAGAGCTGTATCATATAGGCATTTGAAACCTAAAGAAATACTTACTGAGTAACTTTTTACTTAGCTCTTGTGATGATAATTTAGTTAACTTTAGGAATCCCACATTTATTTCGCCGAGTAGGAGCCAACTACTTTAGTGCTTTACAAAAGCAGAATATTAGCATAGACAACTAACAGTTCTGGTAAAGTCAGGAGGCTGCCAATATATTTTGTGATTGGGAGTAAAATTTAAAAAAAATGGAAACCTTTCCTATCCAAACAGACTTTAAGGGAAACTGGGGCGAAATAAATGTATGTGGGAGGGTGACACTGAATAAATTCAGGGCTGAGTTTTTAAGCTGCTACTATTTAGCAGTGGTGTAGACATCTGATTCATGGAGGGGAGTCACTTTTATTTTTTTTCAATCTCATTCATTGATTGAATGAGCTTTAAATACAATGTAAAGTTCTACCACATGTTTTGTATGACATTGTCATACACTTATCTTCATATGTGTGTAAGTGTATGTCTTCATGATGTGTGTACAACTTTCATTATTCTGATTAGATTTTGCTGAATTCCTGTAGATTCCAAAAGGTTCCTGTATCCTAAAGATATGGGACAGGATAGGACTGAATTATGAGACTCCACAGAAACACTGATAGAATTTTCCTACATTTTCAGTTGCTGTGCTAATGCTAAGACTAAAATCAGAGGAAAATTCACTTTTAAACATGTAAGTTAAGGCTTTGCTAACAATTTTAACTTCAGTACATTACGGAAAGAGCTAGTGTGTGTGTACGTTACAGTGAAAATTTTGGGTAATGATTACTTAATGTATCTTCTTGTCTTTGCAAAAGATTTTCTGAATAACATAAATAACAGCCATCAGTCATACACTATATATACATAGAGGACCATGCACTGCTTTTAGCTTTTCTGTTTCACTTATATTAGGCAAGGTTCTAAACCCTAATGACTTCAAGAAGTTAAGATGAATTCTTCATAAGTTCTTCATGGTTATGACAGTCTTGGAAAGCCAAACAGACTGAAATTCATTCCAAAGAGGAATACGAGGCAATGGCAGAGACATGGGATTTATAATGGTTAAAAACAAACAAAAAAACCCCCAAAACATAAACCCCCAAAACTCTAGATGCCCCCAATTTCATAAGCACTACTTACTCTTTTATGAGCTAAATGGAAATCATCCTTAAATCTTAAAGTGGCCTTTAGAGTTATATCATTCTCTGAATAGAAGATGCAATAACCATGAGTAAAGCTGAGCAGTTTAAACTCAATGTTACTTCGTGCTTAAAATGTCAACTGTTGAGGACTGAATACTTGAGTAGAGTATGGGGTGACTATAGTAGAAAAAAAAGAGAGTAATAATACTGAATCCAGATAGAGCTAGCCCAAATGAAGTGAGCTTCTTTGAACAGGAAACACAATCTGAGATCATGAGTCAGAAATCCTGGCAGAATATAATCTTGAGACTAAGCCAACGGGCACTGGTGCTCCACACTGATTCTGCTATCATCTCTGGAAAAGATTCAAGCAATACTATGAGAGAGGAGCCTCTTGATTTCCACACAACCTACAGAGCCATCAGGAGGATTTTAGAAAATCAACAGGAACATATATTTCCATGAAGTCGACAGTTTAGAGAAGCTGGACAGAGTGTTAGGAAGGAGGAAGGGTGGGTGGCTCTATTATTTGTGGTGGTTGTTAGCAGGGTAGGTGACATATGAAGACAAACACATCTGATGGAGAATTAAAAATGACTATTTAGCAAATGAAAGCAGGGGAAAATATTCACAAGGTATTAGATGAAGAGAGAAGTGGTAAACAGTCAGGAATTTGGGTGGGTTTGTGAGTACTGCGTTATTCTTGAAGGAGCAGGGACCATGAATATTACTTCTTTTATAGCTGGCATGGCACAAGCCTAGGGCTGAAAATACGATTATGTTCAGCGTGTTTCCATTGATTGATATGTGGGCAGTTTACTGAAAGTGACCCAAAGCATGGGGCTCTGTGTTTTCTCTTCTCTTCTCACCTGAAGATAACCATTTATAATCTCAAGAACATGCTTCTAAAAACTGTTGAAGGGCTTTTTCCCCCTAATTTGGGTCTCATGCTATTTGATCAGTACTATATAGCAGACCATGAAAGGGTTGCTGAAATTTGAAGATGTGTTCATCAGGGGCACTAAGAAATACATGCAAATAAGCATAGGCTCACCTAATATAAGCTTAAAACAAACTGTGGAAAATGAGAAAGTCCAAGAATTAAGCAGGAAAATGAATATAATATTATAGACATCTTTCATTTTAATTGAAATCTGTGGAGGGTAAATTTAAGTATCCTTTTTGCTACAAGTAATCTAATGATAGGTTGAATACTTGAGGATGATTAATAGATGCTCAGTTAAAAGTAAACGTATGTTTTGAAGGTGAAAACAGAATTTATGTGCACTACTCATACCTATAAACTATCTGATGTTAAATGCTTAAAATATTGAGTTGACTATGGTGAAGCCCTATACTGAAAACTGTTGTTAAAACAAACTTAGAATAACAGCAAGTGGGTCCTTATACCCAGTACATTCCTCTCTCTGGCTTTATTACTTATACATTGATGTTTACTATGTTTCAAAAATTTTCCTCTTGTCTCTCTTTTTAAATAAAATACAAATTCTGGTATCAACAATCTCTGTTGTGAGGAAGTCTTTTTTTAATATTTCTTCCATTGCAACTTGAAGTCCTAAACTTTGCCAGCTGTTTCCTCCAGAGGCGCTGAAGTACATTTGATCAATTCGCTTTTTAAATAAATAACTCTCCAGATTGCTTTTCATCTTTCCTTCTCCCACCCCGTGGGCCATGTTTTCCAGTCCATGAACTATTTTTATTGCTTTTTTCTGAGTTCTTCTCAAGTTGTTCACGTCTGGATCTGTATGTACATAATTTAGTACCTAAACACCATAGGCTAATACTTAAGGACAGTGACTTTTTGGTCAGTTTTCGGGGACGACTTTACCTTTTTTCTTATGGCTCAGGAAAGGAAATACTCCTTCTAGATACTTTAGTCCCAGAATTCAAGACTACTATTATTATATTTTATAAAAATGAAAAAGATAATCTTTGAGATTTGACTATTAAAATGATTTAAAAGTCAAGAAAATAAGATTTAAAGGAGATTACTTTTTACAGAGGAAAGAATAGATTTCAGAGAGACCCGGGTTTGGAACGTAGATTTTTTTATATAGTAGTGTGATGTTAAGATAGTTAATCTCCTTAAGTCTCTATCTCTACATGTCTAAAATGAAGCTGATAATACTCTCTGCAGAGTTGTGGGGACAATAAATTAAGATAATTATACGTAGAGGCTTGCACACAGTCCGGTGCTCAATATTCATGGGGTTAGCACTATTATGAAAACATGGAAGCTCCAAATATGGAGGATAGTACTCTGAGTTTCTCCACCTTAATGCATTTCCACCTTCTTGGAAATATAACACTGTCTGATGGATGGAGAAGGTAAGGAAAATGGAAAGCATCATTTACAAAGATGGGAGGCCAACGGATTGACTCAATGAAGAAACAAATGGCTTGTAATAAATGGAAGAAAAGCTTGCCAAAACATCACAAGAAGAGAATTTAATTGGGAAAACATTATTGTTAGCATCTTGATACCATTAACTGCTTTAATCTGTTTCAATACATGATTAATAATTTTAGATGCTGCTAAACACATAAAATAATTTAAAAAATTTTTCCTTTTTGTTTACTTCCTGAAAGCTAACTTTGAAAGATTTTGTGTTAGGTAAACAGTAAAAAAAAATCACTTACCAAGGATTAATATAAAATGCCAAAAGATAATCAGTCCAAAGACATGAGGGTAGCAGAGTTAAGAAAGCAAATATACTCCTACGCCTGTGAGCATTAATAGATAACAGATGTAAAGATGAAAAAGTGGCAAGAGTTAGTAATATAAACTGTGAACAGATATCAGTAAATTACCTACTGGGATCAATTAAAATGACAAGCACCTTAATTACAATTAAATATTATTCCATTCTGTGAAATTTAGACACGAAGGTTTAAATGCTATAATATTGCCCAAATCAGTTTTATTCACACACGGCCTTATTGTAATCAGGTATATTTCTTTCAACTTATTTTTTGTTAGTTAATCTGCTATTAGGTGATTACATTTTGCATTTAGTTAAATGAGGCTCTTTAAATGCCTCATTAGTAATCTCGAGTCTTATTCTTGGATATTACCCTTGCAAAGCTTAAGCTTATTTTAAGAAATCTCTATAACATCATTTGATGGCTAAGAGCAGCCTGTGTGAGGAGGTATAAACAGTCAGTTTATGTATACTGATTCTGGGAAAGACTCTAAGCTTTCAGGCCACATTCTTATAAAGCTGTACTACTAGGTGTGTATTTCTATGTTCTTTTTAGTTTAAAGGAATACATCATTTCTAAACACCAGCCCTTAAAACAGAGGTATGGTAGGACACTCAGGTGCCTTTCATTTAAGATAAGTAGCTCATCCACTACCTAGTCAGTAATCTTACTATATTCAGTTGGATGAGAGCAAAATTACTTCATTTCACTTTAATTCTAATTCAGACTGTTGATTTAAAATCCCTGGTTTGAATCCAATTTCAGATATTTGAATTACTTGTAAAATAGAACAATCATTCACATAGATTTAAAAATATCCCATGGCTGTCTCTATAGTAATTCTGAGAATCAGGGGAACAAATGCTGTCACCTTGTCACTTAGTTGCTACAAATCCCCACTGAGATATACCTATTCTCAGTTAGCCAGAAAGTGCTGGTGTTGGCAAAACTGTCTTTGCCAAGTGCAGCAGAAGAATTGTCTTGATTTTATAGAAAGGTCCGGAAGCGAACTCTCTTTTGCCTCAGTTCTCCCATAAATTCTACACATTGTGCCTGGTAGTGAAGTCGGTCAATATGCAGCTCTCCTGAGTCACATGGATAATTGGATCAGTTCCTACATGGGCCACTCATCGCTGCTCTGTCACTGGGCCTTTTTTCGGGGTGAGCCAGGCAAGAAGAAAATATCAGTGAGTCAGTCTCTTAATCTGGGAAAGAGTGGCAATATATGTGAACAAACCCAGAAATGTTTTCTGACTTTTTACCATCAAGAGTGAATAGGTTTCTTTTTCTTCGCGGTTGGATTAACCATATTTTAAAGCAAAATTCCATTCAGGCTAAAATTTTAAAATAGCATAACATATTGTCTTGTTAAAAAGAATCCTATTTCAATTAGATTTTCAACTAAAGTGGGTATCAACTAGATGCCCATCAGGGAGGCAGAATTTATATTTTAAATAAAGTCCTCCTTCCCTCTATTGATCATATAGAGTTTCCAGTCTCACATATCTATTGCTTTAAGATTAACCATTTTGGGGGATTAGGAAACAGAAAAAAACATCATTTACCAAGGATTAATATGAAATGTATACATTTAAATGTGCTTTGCATGGCTGCTTGCAAAAGAAACAAACTAGATCATGTAAGCAGTGCTAGCTTCATATTAAATCGTTACTCAATTAGCAACTTAGTTGGGTATTGATGGCGTGTATAGGATTGTTAATTCTCATGTATCATCGTGATGGTATGATGCCAACCAGTTTAATCTCCTGACAATGCTTTCTTAATTCTCAAAATACCTCCTCCCTCCAGCATACTCAAGTATAAAGAAAAATGAGGCCATGTTTTCTCATGGACTTTCCTGGCTTTGATACTTATTTACCTGTAAGTATAAGAGTTGAGAGCCCTGGGCTGTATACTTCTGGATTTGGGAACAGAAGTGGTGGCTCATATCTCCAGGCACTGAAACCTGAGTTCTAAATAGAGATGCTGCTCTGTCTCCTGCTGCTTCAGTGGTGTGGCTCCTGCATGTAAGCCCTTCTTTGGAATGGTTACGGGGTACTTGCGTGACTGAGTTAGTTCTTGGTTTAATAGAGTAAATACAGGGCAGACTACTACATTTTCTCTACTCCATAATTGTATTAAACCAATATATCCCAATATACACTGTGAAGAAGATCTAACCTTTGTAAGTCCATTGTCAAAGAAATTATGAAAGGATAATCAGACAAAACTATTTATCCCCAAAAGATAGTACAATAAAGTTTGGAGTGCACACAGCATAGCTAAGGTATCTAGAGGCTTGTTGCAGAAGAACACTCACCAGTTGTATGGAAGCTTTCCATCCCTCTCCAAAGATGCAAAGTTGACAAAAGTTCCTGCTCCACACTCCCTGTTTGAAAGGAACCACGAAATCAAGGTTACTGCTTGGCAGCGCATTCTTTTACCTTGACATGAAAGAGAGTCTTTACTGGCTTATCACAGCATTACATTTAAAAAAATCTAATAAAATTTCCATACATTCCTCTTTCACATTCAATGAAAAATAGAAAGATGAAACGAAACAAAGCAACATTTCACAAGGTCACACACACCCAAATCAAGTTACATGAGGCCAGAAGGATTCGGTTCACAATCCTTCCCAAAGGGCTCTCAAGATCCTAACATAAATCTTTGGACTATTTGGGGTATAATATTTTTTACAAAGACTTCAATAGTAGGGTACAGAAACTTTCCTAGATAAACTGAGGGTTTCCATTTTTAGCAAATATTCTTTGTGGGTTTTTTTTAAAAATAGCATTTTGACTTTCTCTCTGTAACGTTGGTGGATCAAGCTGAACTGTTTCCTTTCTCGAAAATTTTCCCCTCATGTCGTGATGGCCATATTATTCATCACTTGAGATAAGAGCAAAAGAGTGATGCATATTGAAATAGACTGGCTTTGGTAATGCCTCTTATCCAGAATGTTGCTTATTAATCTGTCAGCAGAAAATACTGTTGAAGTGTTTTTTCTGGAAGTGGAGGAAAAAGGTAAACATATTTTCATGCCTTCTCCACCTTTATCTAATAATATACATGAATAATGTAGCTCACTGGCTGGTGCATCACATTTTTGCCTCTATAAGAAATTAATGGCCTTATTCAGAGTTGAAGCAGAGATTTTGACATTATTGGCACATGGGCTAATTACTTTAGTTATCTGCCTGTTCTTATTAGTGTGTCCTGAGAATAGTTTTCTTCTTTGAAAAATACACTAACATATTACCATATCATGTTGTGCTATAAATTACACATTGCTAATTAATTTTCCTATGTCAATTTCCTATTTATGGTATTTATTTGACACTCAAATTCAAAGATTCTTTTTTTTCTTTTAAAGATTCTTTTTTTTTTTTTTTAAAGATTGGCCCTGAGCTAACGTCTGTTGCCAATCTTTTTTTTTCCTTCTTCTCCCCAAAGCCTCCCAGTACATAGTCGTATATTCTAGTTGTAGGTCCTTCTCGTTCTGCTGTGTGGGACGCCACCTCAGCATGGTTTGATGAGCAGTGCTAGGTGCACACCCAGGATCCCAACCTCTGAAACCCTGGGCTGCTGAAGCCTAGCACGTGACCTTAACCACTTGGACATGGGGCTGGCCCTCAAGAGTTCTTAATCTGGGGTCCAAGGATAGAATTCAGGGCTGTAGGGACATATGTGGAAAAAAGCACATCTTTTTTTCTGAAATTTAGCAGTTCCTTCAATTATTAAAGCAGACAACAAGCCACAATAACATCATCAGTTCTTATGAAATTTACTAACAATAGAAATTGCAGGTCATTCCCCATATGATTTCCCAAGACACAGCCCTTAAGGAGAAAATAGCTCTTATAGACTAATGTATCTTCTTAGCACCTAGAATTGTGTATTCACTTAGAAAGTGCTACTTATATATTTGCTATATATTTATTGACTGAGTGCACATTTGTGACAGAAAGGGTGGCGGTGCTGTCGATCAGAGTGGGGAGCATGTGAAGAGGTGCAGGAGGAAGAAGAGGAAAGGATGAGCTAAAAAAAAAGAAATTGGAGATATTTTTCTATAAAAGACCTGCTGCAGATATTGAAATATTATTCATCACTCTGATGAAATCATGAGTTATTAGACATCCTACTAAATATTATCTAATGTACTAATAAAGGAGAATATAATACATTTGTTTTTTAAATATTTTGATTACCATATTTTAATATAATTAAAATCTTCTTAACCCTATGTATTTTATTTTATGCACTTACAAAGAAAGCATTATTCTTGGAGGAGATCCACAGGCTTCATCAGACTGCCAGAGAGGATCATGGCACAAGAAAATGTTAAGAATCTCTGCTCTAATGACCAGCTGGCAGAAGTAGAACCACTCCTCCTAAGTGTCTTGTTGTATACACCACAAAAAATGCTCAGGCAATAATACCCTCATAAATATCATGACTTCCATTACTTCATCTCTACCAGCCCCTCCACTATCACTGCTATGAGCTCATATTTATTGCATACTTCCTATGATGCTAAGCTTTTACTGCATTATTGCACCCAATTATCCACTGCTGTAGGGGCTATTATCATCTCTTCTTGATATACATTCTTTCCCTGGCCTCCAGTCTACCACACTATCTTAGTTTTCCTTACACTCCACTGGATGCCTCTTGTCAGTCTCTTTTGCTATTATCCTTTTTTCTCATTGAAAATTTTAATATTAGATTGTTCTGGTGCTTGATCCAGGGCCCTCTTCCCTGATCTACCCTTACTTCCTGGATGTCCTCCAGTCTATGGCTTTAATACCATTTATGTGCTAACGCTTCTCAAATTTGTATCTTCAGTTGCAGCCTTCTCTCCTGAACACCAGACTTTTATGTTCAACTGCCCACTCCATGTCTAACGCTTGCAGCCATCCCAGTCTTGTCATTTCCAAAACTGAAGCCTTGATGTTCCCTTTACTCTGAAATCTTTTCACTTGGAGTTCTATTTTAGTTTAAGGCACCTCCACCCTTTCAGTTTCTAGGGCCAAAAACCTTTGAGTCATTCTAGACTCATTCATTTCCACTCCGCATGCAATTTGTTAGCAAATCCTGTTGCCTCTGTTTTCAAAATACATCTGCAAGCTGATAATTTCTCCCTACCTCCATTGCTGGACTGAGCCATTACCATCTCGTGACTGGCTTACTATAATGGCTCCCCGAGTTGATATGCCTGCTTTTGTCCTTGCCTCAGTACAGTCTGTTTTCTACACAAAAATCAAAATGAAAATATTCAAATGTAAATCAGATTTTTTGCCCCAAACCCTGCATTTGCAGCCTGTTTTACTCAGAGTAAAAGCTAAAGTCCTTACAACAGCTTATGAAGTACTAAGTGATCTGACATCATCTCCTGCTACTCCTCCTTTCATTTCCTCTGCTTTAGCTAGACTAACCTCTCTGTTATTCTTTGAACATGCCAGTCATACTCCTGCCTCAGGGCCTTTGCACTGGCTCTTCCCTCTACTGGACATACTCTTCCCCCAGATAACACATGCCTAACTCCCTCATGTTCTTCAAACCTTTTCTCAGATGTCACCCTTTCAGTGAGACCTACCCACCTCCCAGATCTCCTTCCCATATCCCCATAGTGTACTGCTAATTTCCCTTAATCCACTTTATTATTTTTCTCTTATAATCTGCTAACGTACCATGAAATCTTTTAACTTTTATCTTTATTATTTATTGTCTATCTCCTCCACTAGAATACGAGCTCCATGAAGGCAGAAATTTTTGTCTGTTTTATAGACTGCAAGACCCCAAGCACTGGAGGAGTCTGACACAGAGCAGGGATCCATTAATATTTGTTAAATGAATGAATGAAGTTTCAGTGAATGATACCCTGTAGGTTGTACATTAGGATTTGACCCCAAGGACTGTAATTTCTGAGCTTTATACTCTAGCCACAGTGCAGTACCACCTCCCTCCTTATCCTTCTAAGATTTGTTCAAATGCCAACACTGAAGAAGCTTAACTTTTATATTCAGAACTAATGTCTTTTCTCTACTTTCTTGGTATCTAATTTTCACCTCCTTTCTGGTACAGGTCAGTTTATACCTTTAAATATCTTGATTTGTGTGCATATCTCCAGCTAGGCTCTAAGTTCCTGGTAGACAGCTTGGATTTCTGAGTTTTCTTTGACTATGCCGTATAAGGCATTGATTAAATCATTATGGACAGATAAATTTATTTATAAATAAGTGAATGATAGAACTCTGAGACAGGAGGAGGATGCCAATTGACAATTCAGTAGGCTAACATCAGGCAAATATAAACTTGAACCAAATTTCCCAAATCCAATAGTATTCAAGTGGGCAACAGTTTTTCTTCTTTTTTTTTTTGGTGAGGATGATTGACCCTGAGCTAAGACCTGTTGCCAATATTCCTCTATTTTTTTTGTGTGTGGGACACTGCCACAGCATGGCTTGATGAACCGTGTGTAGGTCTGCATCTGGGATCCGGACCTGTGAACCCATGTTGCCAAGCAGAGCATGTGAACTTAACCACTATACCACCAGGCTGGCCTCAACAGATTTTTATGAGAGTTGATGGATTGTTGTGATTACGTAAGAAATCATGGAAAAGACGAGAATATGCCCTGATGAAAAATGCCTCAGTGGTCAAAGGAATAGGGAATCACCAAAATCATAAATCAAAAGGCTTTTCTAACTGCAAGAAAAATGAAGCTGCTGACAACTCTGAGTAATAGGAACAAAACTAAGAGGAGACCTTTAATGGACCTAATCACAAACTCTATGAATATTTTCTGATAAAAAAGCTTCCACAGAACTAATGATGAGAGGGATTTTTTTCTTTCCGGTGGTCTCCACACGTATTAACTCCTTTCATTCATCATACTGTGCGGGCGTAGATCTTTACTCCAAAATATGTTTGAGCGGATCCAAATATAACGAATGGACCCCTCTGTGTGGGCTACTTAAAATGACAAGATTGATAGTAAGAGGTCTGGCTTTGTGTAAGCAAACAATCCTTTGCTTTACCATTTTGATAGTAATGTTTTCTAAAATAATATGGAAAAGTCTACTTAGAAAACACACAAAATAGAAATAGGCACTGAAAACTGAAATCAAATTTACCACTGTACAATTTAGGTCTGCAAAAGCATATATGTATGATTAATAAAAAGAATTTTAAAGGCTGTAGGTAAAATAGTAACCAATCCTAACTTACCTAGCCATCTGCAGATGCTTTTTCCTGAGAATAATGAGGGTGACAAGCAGCAGTCCAATTAGTAGTGTGCTAAGGATGGCCAGCACTGAGATGACCACCACATTGGGATTCATCTCTGTAACTGAAAAGATAAGCCAGACATTTTCATTACAGCTTCCATTACATGGAAACTAACAGAACCATTCATTGTTTTTCATCTCAAGAGCAATGAACTTATGATGATGACAACAACAGCAACAAGAATGTTCCTCCAAGCCAGCAATGGTCTCTTCCTGGTCAACTATAACTTAGCAAAATTGATTGATAAATGGTGTTCAGCTGCCTGGAAGAATTGAGTCCATCTCAAAGGCCTACATTCAGGATGTTCTTATGAAGGGAAACTGACATGTGAAGACTGTGCGATCATTCAAAATCATTTGAAAACAAAAAATCTGGAAGTATTATCATTGCTTAACATTTTCAAAAGCTTATGGAGTGGAAGGTTCTTATTTTATGCCCGTGACTCTAAAGTCAGAAAGCACAACTGTATATTTCGCTCACAACTAATAATGTATATGAAAAAGGCATTAGCAAGCGACCATCTGCTGCTCCACTTAACACCTCGCTAGAAGCAGGCATTCTGATGATCTGTAACCATATGTTGAGGGGTTTTCCATCTGCGCAACTCAAGAGACTAAACCAATTAATAAGTTGTAGGACCCTTAAGAACAGGGGTCTTGTCCCTTGCATATACTTTATATAATGATCAGTCTACGATGGCACTCATGCATTGCCTAGTTTATCACACTACATGAAAAAGCAGGATATCAAAGGCAGGAATATATGTTCAATGTATAAAACACTTAAAAGTGGACCAGAAGAGAATGATACCATCCTCTGCGTTGATCATAAAATCACAGAATTGGCCAGTATATACAATCCCTAATGCTTCGCATATTGTCACTTTCTGTTTGGGCCAGCCTGGTTCCAGTTCATGGGCAGAGTACTTGCACAGAAAGAACCCTGAACTCCCAGTCATCAGAGCTTGTTCAAGTTCACTTGACTATTAACCGCCTTTTGGGCAATCTATTTTATCTGTCTCTCTTGGCCTCATTTTCCTCATTTGCAACTAAGTTTAATGACATCACCTATTTCACTGGGGTGCTGTAGAGATGACAAGGAATAATGAACATTAAATTGTACTTAGAAAAGGGTAGAAGGATGTAGAAGTGAGAGACCATTAAAATATTTTCCAGGACCATTTTTGTCCTCTCTTCTGAAAACACAAAAATTATAAACAGAAAGCCAAAAGAAAAAAGTCCACTCTAGTCAACATTGAATATGGCCGCTAAATATATGATGAGTGTTGCAGAAATGAAAATGAACTCAGTAAAGAGATAATGTGATGGGAAACGTGGTTTTATTACAGGAGGCTTCATAGAGGGCCTCAGATTGCAGAACCAGACTCTAACAAACAGGGGAGGAAAACATACAACTCATAAAAAAGAATAAGGAAACAACATTATTCTAGATCTTTCATTAATTTCTAATTTCCCCATGTATGCTTCCTGCTTGATTGAAAGTTTCCTGCTTTGACCTGGTAATTTAGGTTTGCCATGATTTGATCAGTGACAGCTAAGAGCCAAAACAGATGAACTCAAGTTGATTAGGGCTCTGTGGCTACTCCTGAAGAGGATGATGAGGTTGATGATAACAACTAGCACTTAGACAGCATGTACTAGGGCTTTCTGTACATTATTTCTAACCCTCAAAACAACTCAACAAGGTACACATTATTATTCCAGTTTTAAAGATGAAAAAACAAAGGTTCAGAGATGGTAAATGTCTTTCCCTAAGTCATATAGCTAGTAAGTGCAATTTGGGATTAAAAGTAAGGGCTCCCTGACCCTAAAGCTTGGAAATTTTCAATGGAACATGGATTCCATTAAGAGAATAGAGATAGTGTATATTTAAAAAGAAAACATTAGGAAAATCTGGAAAGACATAATTTCCAAAGACGCCAGATTCCACTAACGCATGTAATTACCCATCGTTGAGACGGCTATGAATGTAGGAACACTGGGGCTGTCGTGGCTAAAGCTGGTGACACTACAGTTGTAGGCAGTGGCAGGAAGGAGGCTGGAGATGGTCACAACATGAGAAGAAACAGAAATCGGTTCCTGGAGATGCAGAAAGTAAGATAAATGTTATGCCACCTTTATCTGTTTTGTTGTTTAAATTATTTTTCATAGGTGAGTAGGTAATATAAGGACAGAGTAAAAAACTTAAAAGATGAAAAAAAGATAGCAGTGAAAAATGTTTCCTTGCGTGTCTATTCTCTATCTGCTCGATACTCTTCCATGGAAGCAGCCATTGTTGTCAGGTATTTTTTTCCTGTATTTTATTGATGTATAAACATATTAGATATAATTTAAAAAATCTAAGTGACAACATAGTTTACACACTGTTGTGCTTATTTTTTACCTTAGTTATCAGTATAATTTGATGCTCCTTCCATATCAGCATAGATAAAGCTGTTTTATTCTTTTTAAGGGATGCATAGACATCCATCGAAAGGACGTGCTTTATTCATCTAGTCCGCTATTGATGAATGTTTAACTCGTCTCTGATTTTTTGCCATTACAAACAATGCTACAGTGAACATAATTTCACAAATATGGCAACATATGTATATGTACACACACTCAATATATGTATGTGTGTAGGTATATATATATACACACACACACATTCATATACAACACCTGTGTGTGTATTGATGTACCTATATGTGTGAACATACATACACATATATATATATATATGCATATACACTCATATTCCTAGTAGTTGAATTGCTGGGTCAAAAGTTGCATATTTTTAATTTTGAAAGCTATTGAGAAATTGTCCTCCATAGACATTTTCCAAGTGACCCACCTACCATCAATGTGTGACAATGCCTGTTTCCCTACGCTCCTTCCAACACAGTATGTTTGCAAATTCTTTGACCTTTCCTATCTTATTAGCAGAAACAGTACCTCCCTGTAGTTTTACTTTGCATTTCTTTCACCAGGTCGATCATCTTTTCATATGTTTAAGATCCTTTTGTGCTTATTTTCCATGAAATATTTGTTTCGGGCTGTTGGTCTTTATCTTTTTTATTTGTAGTAGTTCTTTGTATATTAAGGACACTATCCCCTTTGTCTACATTCTCAGTTTTTAAATAGCATCTACCAAAGGCATAGCAACTTTGTGTTCTCAAAAATATTTAATATTAACCTATTCTTGAGTAGAACAAGTTGTTAATTTGGTGAGCCAATGGCCAGACTAGTGACAAGTACTACTGTACAATATGAAAAGATGAGTCAGCACCACCCTCTTTTTCAAAACAAGAAACACTCCTACCTAAAAATATGAGAGCCATAGGCACTTATTTCCCACTGCCATCTCTTTCACTCTCCTATTAAAAAATGATGCTAAGGAAAGACTTTTGCTAACAGGATTCAGTTGCAGTAAGTAGCTGCCCAACCATTTCTTTCTTAAAGGAAGACATCACTGTAGTTGCAGAGAAGAAAATCCACTACCAAAGCAGTTATTTTCAAAAAGGATTCTTAGAATAGAAAAAAGATTCAGTTGTTCAGTACAGATCAAAAAGAGACGTTTGTAGAAGGGATTTTCAAAGGGGAAGAGGAATCAAAGCAAATTATCTTAATGCTCAGTATGAAAAGATTCCTACTCCCAGAAATCCTTTTTTCTTCTCAATCTCATGGATTGCATTATTTAAAAAGCATCAATTATTAATGTTCATGGTATTGCTCTCTACATTGCATTTTGTAACATTTCTCAAAATTTTCCCTTTTCCTTCCATGTCTGACTGTAAAATATTTTTTTCTGGTGGCCTTCTTACCTCCAGAACTACTGGTTCATCTCTCGCAGTATTCTTCATATCTGCTATTTGTGATTCTAAAGCTTTAACAATCACCTCTCTCAACCTTCATTTTCCCAAACAAAACTGTCCTCTTTACTAAATAGACATAGAGCCTTCTTTTAAATTCTCTTAGTAGTATGGACCTCTCTTGTGGCACTTATGTTTTACTTCATTTATTTTTACACTAATACAATATCCACAATTTGTGAAAAAATTCTTTGAAGGCAAATATTGACTCTACCATTTGTGTCCCATACATTGCCTTTCACATAACTGGCAATCAGTTCATCTTTGTTAAATTATATTTTATATGGCCGTGTTTCCATCTCTTCGATCAATTTAAAGGCCAGTAGGAAAAATGAACCACTGTAGTTCTTTACTATGACCCAGAGTGGCTAAGGATTAGGGACAAAAGACAAATATGAAGATGAAAAGAAACGTTGCCATTTGGCAAGTTGGTTCTTATTACATATTTGGGGCTTGTTCTAAGCTTACTGTTAATTTCTATCATTGAAACACAAAAGCACAAATGAACAGTTTTAATTTTCTATAATTCAAACAAATAGAAGATTTTCATTTTGCTGAGATAATTAGCCTTATCAAAATTAACTCAGAAAAGGAAAATCAAGACTTACAGTACCTGCAGTTTTGTTTCCTGAGTAGAGCCGACTTGTTGACAGAAAACTTTGAAGAAATCAGCTACTCCCTCTTCCACCCACAGCAAAGTCACTGAAGTTTGGGTTTTGTTCACTGCAAAGAGTGATTTTGGAGGAGCGGGTTCTGAGCAAAGAAAAAGTTTTTAAAATTTAATTTAATTTAACATCTTCTTTCTCCTTTCACTAATCAGCAGGATAAAATAGGCAAGAAGTCCAAACAGAGATAGTTAAAAGCATCATAAAGATTTTACATTGCTTTTGAAATATGTCCTTTCACAAAGTCAGTCATCTAACTTGGAAGGCGAAATATTTTGCCTTTTTTCTCCCTTCCACTTTATACTTCTCTTTTTGGAACACTTCTGTTTTTTACTTCAGCTTTATTATAGATATAATCTATTAATAGTTTTTGTGTTATCTGCACTGGAGTTAGCATTACCCTGATAATATGGAATTTTCTGACTGAGAAGCAAAATCTGTACTTAAAATACTGAGAAAAATGAAAGTGGCATGCTCCCAGATTCCATCTGGTACTCAGCCAACAACCTGTCTTCCTGTCTCTGGAGACTCTTTGGAATAATTTAGTCCGAGGAATAGATTCTTGAAAATTTAGTCAAAATTAAGAAGGGTAAGCTAAATAGATAATATGATTTTGTAAGAAAAGGATTGAGGGGCTGGCCCGGTGGCACAGTGGTTAAGTTCGTGTGCTCTGCTTCCGTGGCTCAAGGTTTTCAGTTTCGGATCCTGGGTGCAGACCTACACTCATCAAGCCATGCTGCGGTGGCATCCCACATACAAAAAGTAGAGGAAGATTGGCACAGATTTTAGCTAGCTCAGAGACAATCTTCCTCAAGCAAGAAGAGGAAGATTGGCAACAGATATTAGCTCAGGGCCAATCTTCCTCACCAAAAACAAAAAAAAGAAAGAAAGAAAGAAAGAAAGAAAGAAAGAAAGAAAGAAAGAAAGAAAGAAAAGAAAGAAAGAAAGAAAGAAAAGAAAAGGATTGATGGAAGGAGACTGGATGGTTAATAAAATGTTAGAGGACTGATTTTCTTTGTCTTATTCTTTTAGGCATTTAATCTTGATCAATAAATGAATCCATTAGTCAAGTAAGCCATGCTGCCTGTGCCCCATCATACTCATTTCCAGTAATTGAGTTCATTCGACTTGTTGGCTTGAGACCAAACCCCTGCCTGGTCCCCAGTTCTAGGAAGTGGTCTGTTGTGTTGTTCCCCTATTTCTGAGTCTATCCTGGTCCCCTCCCTCTGCCCTTGTATTTTGAGTGTTGCTTTTCCCTCCAGTTCCTCCAGGATGCAAAGAGCTATGCCTGAACCTAAGTTCTTGAGCCAAGGTCCCTGTTACCTGCTGTCAGATATCCTTGACGTTGCTTGTTTGGACGTATCATATCTTGCAGTTTCACATGACAGCATACTATGTCCACCTGCATGTCTCTGTCGGACAACTACCCACACTGTTTGCTTGTTATTTGGATTTCTTTTTATTTGCCCCACCCTCCCAAGTCTGTTCTCCAGCTCCTGGCTTTTAACAGTACTTGAAAAAGCTCTGGAGGCCATTTCACTCCCTTGACAGGTATATGTCTTTGTGTGGGAAGGCTTAGACCTTCTTTCTAGAATATCATCATCATGGACCTGTCCAGAACCAAGAAGAATGTCATAATCATTCTTGACATGATTTACCGCAGGTGATCTAAATTTGTGTCCAACGAAAAAAGAAGCAATTTTCTTTCCAGAGGTAACTTGACAAGGTTAGGCAGAAGAGCTGAAGGAGGAAAGAGATGAGCTAGTCTTGGGCAAGCATAACTCACAATAGATATCAGGACCCCTTTCCCATTTGCAATGAATTGTCCACTCCTCTAGACATTGTATTGTCTCACTTCCTCTCTGAGGAAGACTCTTGATGAAACATAGGGGTCCTCTTTCATTTCCCACATCCTACATAATTGTCACTAACAGGATTATGAGCCAGAGAATGAGTCTTCCAGTGATTCTGACTTGTGTAGAGCTTGGATCTTTGGAAGAAGGTATGAGGTTGTCTGGGGTAGACATGGATGATTTGTTAGGCTGAGCCTGGGTTATTTCCCTTTTAAAAACACACACGACAGAATTGCTCCTCAGAGAGTCTCCTGGACTATGATTTGAATCCCTAGGATATCTGTATTTTTCCTCTCAGTGGGTAGATAAAAATAAGTTTAACTATCCAGTATGAACATTGCCCAAATCCTAATCTCCATATCTGACTCTTTACACACGTATTTCCGATCACCTACCATCTGCGCTACCTCAAATATCTCACTAGTACTTCACACTCCATATGGTCAAAACGGAACCTGGAGTCCTTGCCTTCTCGCAAGTCAATTCTACTTTCCAACTACTCTTGATGCTCTCATGAGCACCACCATTCTTTCAATGTCTAGGCTGACAATTTTGAGATTCTCCTCTTGCTTCTCCATCCAAGATAACATATCTTTAAAGAATTCTTGTCATCTCTTCCTTTAATTTATTCTTCTTATTAAATTGCATGTCCAGGCTTTTGTCACCACACTCATTGATCATTACAACAGTCTCTTACTCCTTCTCGCCTCTAATTGGTTCTCTCTTCATTTTGTCAATGAGGGCTTAAATCATCTTAAAACACCACTTTGCTCATATTAGAGCCTATCTGTGCAATGATCTATGATGATCAATGTCTATAATGTCAAATACAAATACGCCAAGTTTTAAAGATCTTACATTGGCCACATGCTACCCATCTAGCTTCACCACCCTCCTTGCTGCAAGGACATGCTGCCCCTGTTAAAGCTGTCTTCTCGCTGACCATAATACAAGCAGTACTCTTTCTCCACTCACCTATTTCTCCTCAGTGTACTCTTTCTTCTACTCTGATCATCCTAATGTCAAGAAAAGTCTTATCTTCTCCTTGAAACCTTATCTGATGACTCTGTCTTTTGATGGTCTATCCCTTCTCTGGCCATCTATTGCCCTTAACAATTTCCTATTTGTTCTATGTGAGTGAAGTCCTGACTCTATTAGATCCTACTAGTTTCTTAAGAATGGGGGCTATATGTTATACTTCATTTGGTCTTCACCTTGAACTAGCCACCTGTAAGTACTCAACAAGTCTGATCTATTGACCGATTCAAAACATAAGTCAAGATTCATTAACCTGAGGTGTTAAGAGTTAAGCATCAGGAAATGCCATACACACTGGGATTGAACTTTTATGTTCTCTGCCTTTTTGTCATGATCATGTTGGTAAAATCATCATATTTTGGTGGCAGAGTCAAAGACTGTCATTAATCATAAGTGTTCTCAGTAGTCTAAGGAATATGACTTGGATACTGGAGTGGGGAAGGTTTTTTTGGTCTGGCTGAAAATGTAGATCTAGGTGATAAATAGATCCTCAGGAAAATCTCCAAAGGGTCTGGTACCTCTAACAGCCATGTAACAAATTTTTCTTTTCAGGTGTTATATTGGGGCAATAGATTATTCCGAGGTGACTGTACCATTATCACTACATCCTTTTCTGAAAGACACGTGCCTATCTGCTCTGTAGGTCAATGCATAACATATACAAATCACCTGCTTGAAGACTGTTTAGGAACTTTGTGATAGATATATTTCCCTAGATATGCTAGGGAGAAATTTTACTCTGCTATTTCAAAGGAAACAAAGTTATTATAATATTTCATAAGTGCAGATATAATTGGATTGAGAGAGACTTATAATTAAATTTACCTACTCAAGACAACAGCTGCCCCATGGAATGTATTAAAGTGTTTGAACTGTATTGCCCAAAACAGTAGCCACTAGCCACAGGTAGCTACTGAGCACTTGAAATGCGGCTGGTCTAAACTGAGAGGTGGTGCAAGAGTAAAATACAGACTGGATATTGAAGACTTAGCATGAAAAAAAAATAAAAATATCCCATTAATAATTCTTTGTATTGATTACATGTTAGAATTATACTATTTTGGATATATTCGGTTAAATAAAGTATTTTAAACTTGATTTCACCTATTTCTTCTGACTATTTTGAAAGGTGGATGTTAGAAAATTTAAAATTACATATGTGGCTCTCATTACATTCCAATTGTACAGTAGTGGGTTAGAACATTTCAGAGCAGGAGTCTGGAAATTCTTGGCAGAAGTTGGTTGGAGAGGCCCCGATTTTGCTGTCTACCTCCTCTCATGAGAAGGTGAAGTCAGCTCAGCTCCACAGCCTAGGATGGCTTAGACGATTTGTGTTTCCATCCTCAAGAACAGGACTAAAAGTGGGTAATGGTTGAATATTGTTTAGGCAATTTCATATGAGCGAGAACATGACCACACGCAAAAGCCTTTTGATTGGTCTCTGTCTTTGTTGTGGCCTGAACTGTTTTCCTCCAAATTCATATGTTGAAGTCCTAACCCCCAGTACCTAAAATATGTGACTATACTTGGAGATGGGGCCTTTCAAGAGGTGATTAAGTTAAAATGAGGCCATAGATTGGGCCCTAATCCACTCTGACTGGTGTCCTTATAAGAAGAGGAAATTGGGGAAACAGAGACATCAAGGATGAACAGCCACAGAGAAAAGACCAATAGAGGACACAGCTGGAAGCTGGCCGTCTGTAGGCCGAGGGGAGAGGCCTCAGGAGAAAGCAAATCTTCTGACACCTTGCTCTTGGACTTTTAGCCTCCAGAACTGTGAGATAATAAATTTCTGTTGATTAAGCCACCCAATCTGTGATATTTTGTTATGGCAGCCCTGGAAACTAATCGTCTCTTACTATTCAAAATATCGAATACAGTCTAGCTCATAAAGGGGAGGGATACGAAGACCTCAAGAATGTTATGAAAAGTAAATGAGCTTTAAGACAATGTACACAAAAAACACTTTATACGGTGTAAAGAGCCATGTAGATCTTAGTTATAGAACATCTTCTGCTTATCATTTCTATCCCTCTAAATGACATTTTAAATCTTAACTTCTTCAAAATTCCCCTGCTCTATAATGTCAGGTTTCCTTTTGTTTAAAATAATTTCAGAGGCCATGATATTTGATGTAAGAACTTACGGGTATGGGGAAAGGAGGTGAACATACTGTTTTTACAAAATGAAGTGTAGA